TTTCTTTTTTTTTGTTGCAACAAAAGGTGGATCGAGACGGCGTCTTGTCCTCACGAGCTGACAGGTAAGAGGAATAGCAACTGATATCATCTCTATATCTATATATATATATGTATCTATGAAAGTAGAAGCCGCTGATTCTCTTTCTACAGCAGTAAAACAAAGGACAATTATCCCAACTTGCAGACATATCTTGGGCGGGTATTGGTCCAAGGACGGTGTGATTGACAGCGGCTATCCATAATTCAGTATCCTGCCAGAGCGCCTCAATCTCGCAGTTCGTCGTGTGGATTTCGCATATGGAAGGGATCACTAGAGTGTTCATCTAGTGTTTCCTGTGTCATTGTGTATATGATTCTAACAGGTCGCGGAATATGGTCACTCTTCGCTTGAGCTCCTATGGTCGGAGGGCTACAGCGTAGTTCTTGGCACTGTTATAGTGCACCGTTCGGGGCTGCAACGCACCTAATTTGGTTACTCGTGACCTACCCCAGGTCCGACACTTTCCCCAAAAAATATTATTACTGCACTACCTTATTCCCAGTAGCACCTAGTACCGACAAACGACTGTGAATGGTGCTATTAATAATATTGCCGAGGCAATCCCCCCGCCTTCCAGTGGTAGGGTACCTCACGTCACTATGTGGAGGTGCTCATTGACGAGAGTCGCGATGATACACGAGGATTATCTACATTCGATATTTCTTGGCCCTGTATAGCAGCATATCTACAAGTCACCTTGCAAGAGGTTCCAACTCGCATACCACATAATCCAATTTAACTCGGCAACATGACTCTTTGGGTATCGCGGCACCCTAATCTCGACAGTAAGGCCGGCACCCTTCCAAAGCTTAAATGCGAAAGTCAGGCAGGTACAAACTTACTTTGGCTTACCCTATGAATCGCAGTACCAACGCAAATTACATCCTGGGAATGGGCCTTTGAGTCTCGAGACTTTTCTCCGCTACAACAAAAACAAAAGCCTTTGGCGCTTGGCGGTTATAGCAATGCCATCACCGGGGAGCGGCTTGACTTTGCTGCCGTCAAGGAGATTGCTACCAAGCTGAGCACGGTTCTGGCTCGCAAATATGGCCTTGCACCGGACCAAACTGTGTCCTTGTTCAGCACAAACACAATATGGTACCCCGTAGTCATGTGGGCAACGGTGAGGATTGGTCAGCGGCAACGAATCCTTGAGTACAGAAACGGGATTCACATATTGACATTGTCTATACAGGGGCCCGTGTCAATGGTGCATCGCCATCATATACCGTGGAAGAAATGGCATATGCACTCAAGACTGCAGAAGCAAAGATTCTCATGACTCTACCCAGCTCTCTAGAGATTGCAGTGGATGCCGCCACTCAAGCAGGCATTCCCAGACAGCATGTCTTTCTGCTCGAGGGTTCGGCACCGGGCTATCTTAGCGTCCAAGATCTGATTGCTCAGTACGATAGCGAAAGGTATAGCCCGGTTCCATATTTCAGAATTCCAGGGGGCCAGACAAACAAGGACGTTTGCGGCTACTTGAACTTTAGCTCTGGCACGACTGGCCACCCGAAAGCTGTCATGCTGTCGCATCATAATGTGATTGCTCAGTGTCACCAGCTTCGACAGCTTCAGGTCTTGCCAGAGGATGGACGATATCGCATTCTCGCAGTAATGCCACTCTTTCACATTACTGGTCTGGTACGCTTCTGCACCTATCCAGTATTCATGAACGGGGAAAGTATCATGCTCCCTCAGTTCACCATGGACGCAATGCTTCAATCAATCATAAAGTACCGGATGGAGGAGTTGATTCTCGTCCCACCCATCATTGTGCGCATCGTTCGCGATCCAGTTGTCGACAAGTATTTGCCAGATCTTAGGCGCATAGTCAAGCGTTGGTCGTCTGGATCGGCACCGTGTCTACCAGAGGTTACCGAGCAACTGCACCGAAAGTTCCCCAAGACCGGGTTTCGTCAGGGCTACGGGGCCACCGAGTCAACTGCGTGCATTTCCTCCCACCCACCTTCGCATTTCGACTTCAAATATGCCAGAAGCGGCGGTCTCCTTATGGCGAACACGGTGGCCAAGGTCATATCTTTGGACGATCCGAACAAGCTGCTCAAACCTGGTGAAACGGGCGAGATCTGTGCAGCTGGCCCACAGATTGCCATGGGCTATCTTGGGAACGCTGCCGCAACAGAAGAGTCATTTGATGCGGATGGCTTCCTCCATACTGGCGACGTAGGGCACATAACCGAAGACGGCCTGATCTATATAGAAGATAGAATAAAGGAGATGATCAAGGTCAAGGGGCTTCAAGTGCCACCGGCCGAGCTGGAGGATGTCCTGATGGGGCATCCAGACGTGGAAGAATGCGCCGTGTTGGGAATCGCAGATCCATACTCAGGTGAACGGCCCAAAGCCTATGTCGTCGTCAAAGACGGGACTGCTCCAAGCGGCGCGATGGGCAAACTATTGATTGACCTGGTCAAGCAGAAGAAAGTCCGATACAAGTGGCTCGTAGAGGTAGAATTTACCGAGTCGTTGCCGAGAAACGGGACTGGAAAGCTCCTGAGACGAGTCTTGAAGGCACAGGAACGAAACGGGGATAGAAGTAGAGGCCTATGCGTCAGCGATGTTGATAGAGTCCAGGCCAAACTCTAACTAGCGAGTTAGAAGTATCATCAAGAATACCATCAAGAAGAAATCAAGCAATTGCATCTGCCATCTGATCACAGGAAGATTAGAATTGTTTGGTCTTAGCCATGACCAAGGCGGCACTGGGGGCTAGGGAATAGGTATTGGCCCCCACCTCTAACGGGCTTACTGGCATACATGCAGCTAAAAGTGCTAGCACCAGCCACTTTCCAAAAGCTGCCAGACTGCTTATCATTTGTCAGCCACATTTTCAACGTCAAGCTAATCGCCACCCTTGCGACAACCTCAAGCTCGCCAAATTCTTGGGACATCAAACACTTGTCGCAAAGACAAGAAACCCATAGCAACATGCCGCCTCAAATCAAGCAAGATCTGAACCGATCCGGCTGGGAGTCCACCGACTTCCCGTCGGTCTGCGAGAACTGTCTGCCCGACAACCCCTACGTCAAGATGCTCAAGGAGGACTATGGCGCCGAGTGCAAGCTCTGCACGCGACCCTTTACCGTCTTTGCCTGGTCAGCCGACAGAGCCCACGGACGCAAGAAGCGCACCAACATCTGCCTCACCTGCGCTCGCCTCAAGAATTGCTGCCAGACCTGCATGCTCGACCTCAGCTTCGGCCTGCCCGTCGCGGTGCGCGACGCCGCGCTCAAGATGGTTGCGCCCGGTCCCGGAAGCGAGGTCAACAGGGAATACTTTGCACAGAACAAGGAAAAGGAGATCGAGGAAGGACGCGGAGGCACCGAACAATACGAGCAGACGGACGAAAAGGCACGAGAGCTGCTCAGAAGACTCGCCGCGAGCAAGCCGTATTTCAGAAAGGGCCGAGCCATCGAAGACGGCAGCGCGTCGCAGAGCTCTGGCGGTGACGCCGCTGTTGGCGCTGGCGTTGCTGGCCCCGGGCCCATTCGTACACGAGATTCCAGGGCCGCCGCCGCATCGGGAGCAGGACCTAGATCAGGAGGCAACAGACGACCATTCCCAGCAGCATCGCAACTACCACCCGGCCCTCAAGATTGGCTGCCACCCCAGGACAGGAATATCATGTCACTTTTCATCACTGGTGTCGAAGATGATCTGCCAGAGTACAAGATTAGAGACTTTTTCAAAGAGCACGGAAAGATCAAGAGTTTGGTGTGCAGTCACATGTCGCATTGCGCTTTCATCAACTACGAGACGCGAGAGGGAGCTGAAAAGGCTGCAGAGGCGTGCCAAGGTCGTGCTGTCATTGCTGGATGCCCCTTGAGAGTCAGGTGGAGTGTACCCAAGGCTGTTGGTACCATGAACAGAGAGCAGCGCGCCGAGATGATCAGGGACGGGCGGAGCGCTTTTGGTGACGTCAGGAAGCAAAAGGCCATTGCAGGCAGACCTGGCCAGCGAGCGCTGACTCAAGGTGGAGAGGGACAACAAGCACAGCAAGACATGGAGAGCATGGCTCCTGTTGCTGCACCCCCTGGGGCCAGTGAGGTGAATTATGCCAGCTTGGCGGGTGAATAATGAGGGTATGAAAAGGTTACAGCGAAAAACATTTGCATTGCTAGGCGTTCAGGAACCGGCATCGTCCGCCCCTTTGTACTTGGGTGAATTGAACTATTGATACCATCACATTACGATGTTCAGACTTAACTTGTTGCTCGTGAATATTAACTGACTGTATTGTAATGAACACCCGCCCAGACATCAAGGCAGAAGAATACAGGACGGCTTACTACAATTCTTACAATATGACCAAGTGTCTATGCGAATCAGAGATGTGTTTGTCTACGTCGAAGCAAATCTACTATGTTACGAGCATGTACTCTTGCAGTTAAATGAACATGAGTCTAGAGCTAGCACTGAAGTGGAGTCGTTGCAACGGGCTATCATTACCTCTCTCGTGTCTGATGCATGTTCAAGGTCATCACACGACTAAGCAGGTTCAACACTACGGCTCATGAAATCCAACAATACACATGCATGTAATAGGATCGTGCACGACATGGGATCTTTTTGCGAAAAGGCCGCTTTCGTGTTTTAGGAAGGTCCAGCCGCGAGTTCTTGTTTTATTTATGCTGCCGATGTTCTAATTAATTATGACTAGCTACGTGTACGCAAGCTGATGACTCATGTAGGTATACATTAAACACCATACCTAAGCCCATCTCTATCTTCACACTGGAAAAAGCATAGCCCTGCCATAATAGGACGTCCGAAGCCGGAGAAAACACTTCTTTGACAAGCAGTTATTACACTGGCCTTTCACAAAATCTTTACTGTTTTGGTCGTTCACTTTCCCTGTGAGTCACTCCATTGACACGAAGCATTTATTATGGCTCTATTGGTGCAGGAGGCCTTGACGGCCGAAGAAGTTGCTACGTACTTGGAATACATTCGTTTGCCACAGAAGCTTTACGTGGACAAGACTTATTCCTTAACATTAGAGTTACTCACGACATTGTAAGCTGCTCACATCACAACATTCCCATACGAGAATGTTTCCCTACACTATTCCCAAGATAAGTGCATCTCGCTGCGAGTCCAGGACATATTCGACAAATTTGTCGGAAAGCATCGAGGGGGTTACTGCATGGAGAACAACATTCTCCTGAATCATATTCTATGTTCTTTGGGATTCGAGACGTACATGACTGGCGCGCGCTTGTACAGAAACCATCAAAGTCATAATCCTGGCTGGTCTGGTTGGTTCGTGTATTCCACTTACACTGCGTTGAACTGTCGCGCGTAATCCGTCTCTAACTTTACACTTGTAGGGAGCATGCTATCATTATAGTCACTATACCTGAAGACAAAACTCGCTACGTTGTTGACGTCGGATATGGAGGCCATGGTCCACGATGCCCTCTCCCACTTCCTAGTTCGGAACTCCAGGGGACAAGCTCATCCGGCTACGTCATTCACAATATCGGAACACAGGACATGCGCCTACAACACAACGACCTGGATGCGCAGATGAAGAGACACTGGGTATATCAGATTCGCAACAGCCCGGAACAGATGTGGAACGATGTCTACGCTTTCACCGAGATAGAATTCACTCACAAGGATTTCGAAGTGATGAACTTCTTGAACTTCTTCACTAGCAAGAGCCCCCAGTGCTCCCTTACGACGCAGCTTCTTGTGGTCAAGTTCTTGCGGAGTGACGATGACAAATGTGATGTTGTCGGCAAGGTGGTTCTAGATCAAGCAAAGCTCAAAGAGTATCGCGACGGCAAGCATGGTCTGGTCAAAGTATGCGAATCAGAAAGTGAACGAATTCAAGTACTGCGCGATTTCTTCGGAATTGTTGTTGAACAAGAAGACAAAAGTTTCATTTCGACACGCTCGTCTCTCGATACAGCATGAGCTTATAAGAAATCAACGTCCTGTACTTAGTTGAATTGTGGTACAATGAGTCCTACTATGGACCTGCGTTGTTGTTCGTCTGTCAGGTTGACTAAGCTGGCATGAGATGATTTGGACTGTCCAAAAAACACGTTCTTGGCTTATTAGTAGGAACAGAATAGCAAAAGAAGGGTTCAAGGAGGTTAGGATCTGGATCCTGGTCTAATTGGTCGATTCCCTGCGCAGCCCATTGTGATATGTATCACGATCCCGTTGACAAAGGCCAATGTTCATTATGACTCTCCGCTTGCCCCAGCGATTCAATTATTGGATCTTCTCCAGACTCTATATTCCTCCATTGACCTTCTTAATTGCCGTTGTAAGCTTGCGCTGGGCTTCCCATGATATCTCGACGACTGGCGTCTGAAGGCAGTCTCGAGTGGATTTGGGGGATTGCAGAAGTCCTCGCCCATCGACACAACCAGAGATCAAGATGGGTAGAATCAGTCAACGGTACTATAACAGCGAGGTGAGGAGGCGGTATCCGCCCGTGGTATGATCTCGCGATACAGGCATGCGCTGTACCATATGGACTTCTTCAATGGCTTTACGAGAGGTCACTGACTAAACCACGAACAGTGTTAGACAGGTGGATAATAGCGTGAGAAATGCAAAGCGTTTAAATCCATTATGATAAATGATTGTTAGGCTACTTAGGCTTGCGTACAGTGATAATCACTTTGCAGGCGCCTCTTTTTGGAGAAATGGTGTCTGTGTTGTTCTTGACCCCGCTCGATCTGGAGTCTGCCGGGGCAAATCGTGCAATCTAACCAACCTAGGTATTGCAATCGCCACTTCGCAACATTGTTTTGTGCATAGAATAGCTTGGCGCGTGAAGACATGGTAAAAGAAACAACGCTAGGAGTAGGAGAAAAAAGCAAAAAAGGGAGATGTTTTGTCTCCAAAGTTGATCACGGCAGTGGTCTTGGTTTATCTAAGTGCCTTTCAACTCTACACATTACTATATGCCGGTGACCCACATTGTCTTCCTGCCTCACTGTCTGGGTAGCTTATATAGCCTTGTAGAATTGATCAATGACTCGTACACTATATGAACTCTCTTTTGCAGAACGGATCCTACTATTTGCCCGTCGTCTCGGGGACTCGGGAGATGCCTTCACCCGTCGGGATGGTCTTGAGCATTGAACCTGTATCGAAACGCCAAAACGCGGGGAAAGATTGGGGAAGATCTGTGGAGTATATCTCATGACAAACTAAAAGAACTCCTCAACAAGCCAATCAGGCTGCGTCGGGTATAGTAACCGACATGCTATATAACATTTATGTACGAAAAGGTACAGAAATCATTCGTCACAGTGGGCGAACGCCCCCATATCATGCCACGGGGATTCTCGTCACAGCGCAAAAGAGTGTTTCTGATACGTCCGATACACACAAGGATAGACCAGGAGCTGAAAAATTGCCTGGAAACCGCGGGCCGAGGCTGCGCATCCGTGTCGTGATTTGTTGCCCTCTTTCCACTGCAATCAATCCTGTGCGGAGTCGTCATGATCGTCAAAGTAAATATGGGCCACCCAATGCCATGTATAACGTTTCAATTGCGAACTCTTGACCTTTTTCCAAAAGGATCTCATCGTTGTTTCGTACGTTGTTGATTATTGCTAAAGTGAAAAGGCAATAGTCACTATATTTTTGCGACTGCAATTATTTCTTCTACCGGCGGCTGCTTTGAATATTCATCACATATTGAAAGTTTTGATCTACTGCTCATCGCAATGCTGGACTCGGGAGGAAAATGGGACTATTCAGTCCCAGGATCATCTGGGTACCACATCCCCAACATCAAGTTCAATGTACGTTCTCGTTTTCAAACGGTCAATATCAGCTCCGATCATTGTATTGATACTATAGTCTCAAGGACCCCAATAACCGCCCGCTCAGGGTCATCATGATCGGCGCTGGTGTTTCGGGTATCATGATGGGCTACAAGATGCAAAAGGAGTGTCCAGATGTCGACTTCAAGATTTACGAAAAGAACGAAACCATTGGCGGGACATGGTTCGAGAATCGATATCCTGGTTGCGGATGTGACATTCCTTCCCATGCCTATGTATTTCCGTGGGCGCCCAATGTGTGTCAACACCCTTTCCAAGACTTCTTGCTACGATTGACTTTTGATGACAACAGCCCGACTGGCCGCGATTCTTTTCCTATGCTGCCGATATCTGGCAGTATCTCGACAAGGTCTGTGAAGTTTTCAACCTTCGAGAGAAGATGACCTTTAACACCGAGGTGATTGCTGCGGAATGGCAGGAGAGCAGCGGAACGTGGAAGGTCAAGCTGCAAAAAGAAGAACCGGGCAAGGAATCCTCCATTTTCGAGGACGAATGTGACGTCCTGTTCAATGGTTCCGGGGTAGGTAGCTCCGAATGCAATGTGCGCATGCTTGGTGCTGATAACATTGCCACAGGTACTGAATAACTTCAAAAAGCCGCACATGGAGGGGCTAGAGCTTTTCAAAGGCAGAGTAAGTCACTATAAGCGGGCACAGCAGGAGATTTACCAGATCATTCACTGATTAAACGAACAGGTTATTCATACTGCTGATTGGGATCGCGACTACCAAGCAGAGCAGTGGAAAGGACAAAACGTGGCAGTCATTGGATCTGGTGCATCTTCTGTCCAGACAGTCCCAACCATGCAGCCACACGTCAAACACATGGACATTTTCGTGAGGACCGGAGTGTGGTTTGCGCAGATTGCCAACAACTACGGGCAAAACCATGAGTACTCGTCCGATGACAAGCAGAAATTCAGGGATCCTGCCGAGCTGGCTGCTCATGCCAAGAATATTGAAGATCAGATCAACGGTCTGGCCGACGTCTTTTATACGAAAACTAAAGACCAGCAGGCTGCTCAAGACTTTTGCAGAGAGTGGATGGCTGAGCACATCAAAGATGAGCGACTTCTACAGGGCTACACCCCGAAATTTGATGTCGGTTGCCGCCGTCTCACGCCAGGTGACCCTTACATGGCCGCCATTGGAAAGGAGAACGTTGACGTGCACTTCACCGCCGCCGAACGAATCACCGCAGAAGGCGTCCAGGGAGCTGACGGCGTAGAGCGCAAGGTGGACACGATCATTTTCGCTACTGGTTTCGATGTAAGCTATCGACCACGGTTTCCAGTCATTGGGCGGAATGGAGTCTCTCTTTCCAAAAAGTGGGCGATCCAGCCAGAAGCGTACATGGGTCTCACGGTGCCAGACATGCCGAATTATCTCATGTTCATTGGTCCTACTTGGTAAGTTGAGTCTACTGTCCTAAAATCACCGGGATGACCCCTTCTGTACAAAGAAAAATGATGGCTGATCTGCTCCATTGCTAGGCCTATTGCCAACGGCAGCGTCATGGGGCCCCTGGAGTACGTCTCGAGATACTGCGTAATGTATATCAAGAAGATGCAGCGCGACTGCATCAAGAGCCTTGCACCAAAGCAATATGTGACCGACAAGTTCAACGAGCATGCTCAGGAATGGTACAAATACACAGTCTGGAAGGACAGCTGCCGATCTTGGTATAAGAACAATGACACGGGGAGGATCAACGCAGTGTGGCCAGGGTCGTCATTGCATTTCAGTAAGTCTCGCGTCGTGGAATTTTAGGCGCAAAGAGTCCTTTCTTCTCCGAGTCCTGGCAAAATTGGTGCTAATACACCGCAAAGCTCAGGTAGTGATTAATCCTCGATGGGAGGATTATGATATCAGCTATGTGCACGATAATCCTTTCGCGTCCCTTGGAATGGGGCACATTGACCCTCCTCGCTCTCAGGACAATAAGGGAGCGGATCTGTCGGAGTACATTCAGCCATCAAACATTGATCCAAAATGGGTCGAGGCAATGAATGGAGTCAAGAATGGAGTTAGCAATGGAATTGGAAATGGAATTGAGAATAGAACTTAGCATGGTGTTGCTGGTTGATGAATATGCACGGGATCAAGAAGTGCAATTGGGTGGGCTGAGATATTGACATAAAGGGGCAATTCAATACTGGTACTTTCTCCGCTTTGAAAAGTCCCTGGTCCGCAGTAATTTCACGTACCATCCCGTTTCTGGCTTAATTGCATTCAAGCTTAACGGCGTTTGTACCTGACGATCCCAAAGGGGCAGACACATGTAAGTGTACAAACGTGAAGAAGGGTCCATATGTCAAAAGCCGATTTTCTGTCCTTGATCTTGGCCCTGGCGAACACTGAAACACACAGGTCATAGCTCGTAACGGAATCAGCCATTTGGAAGACCAGTGATGAAATGTGCTAAAACAGGGAGATCCGATGTCATTGGTAGTCTCGCGTTTAAGCTTCGGCAGTATGGATACCGGCATTCTTCAAAATGCCCAGCGCGGGTATCGGCCACCAATTCTTAGGGGACGCATTCTGCGCAACACGAGCTTTCAAACACTAAACACTCAAAACGATGAGGGGACAAGACTAGAATGGCAACACGACAGACTGAGCAACAAAGTGCATCTCAGCGAAAGCGGGAGCGGGACAAGCTCAACCAGAGGACTAAGCGGCGCCGTGAACGCGAGTACATTGCAGCTCTGGAGGATAGAGTGCAGCGCCTCGAGCAAGATCTCCAGCTAGCCACAGCCACGCACCCGCGTTCATCCTCGGGGAGCATACGCCTAGAGCAGGATCGTCTTGGGCAGGATCGCCTTGGGCACGCCTTTGGCCAGAACACAAGTGATGTAGATTCACGAGACCACACACCGGCCCAGAGTGCGTCGCCCGGCAGTCTAGACAACCTAGACCATCCCGCGCGTACCGATTCCTCAGTTTCACTAGCTCCGGAGTCCAATTCCGAGCCGCGCCGGGCACAGTCCACTCGAAGCCATGTGGACGCGGCAATACCAATGATCACAATTGCTCTAGATCCCTTGACCAAGCTACTGGACTCGCCAGCATGGTTGCGACTCCCAGTCATGTCCCGCTCTCCCGTGCCACCACCCAGACTCCTGCTACAAAACGACAGGTTTAGTTTCGTCGTCGACCGTCTGAAGTCGACCCCAAACATTGCCGACTCTCTGCCACCAACGCCAAAGGTGCTGGATCTTCTGTTTGGCGGGTCGCGCAACGAGCTCGCCAATCTCATTGTCTCGGCTCTAGCACACTATCCCATACTGCCACCGGAAAGGTTCGCCATTTCCTGGCTCATATATCTATTCTTCCGATGGTACATAGCTCCGTCCCAGGAATCTTTTGCGGCTATACCACCTCATATGCGACCGACTGCCTGCCAGCTCTGCATCGAGCACCCAGTTTACATTGCTGCCATCATCTGGCCATCTCTTCGGGATCGGCTCATCTTGAACATGGGTAAATATGCATTTGAAGATGTCTTTGGTTTGCTAAGCTGCACTGTGCGCGTACGTGAATCTTTCAACAGCAGCTTCATCAGCCGAGAGAACGACGGCGAACCACAACTAGACGAGGCATTTCATCGTCGCTTCACTCAAGAAAGTGGATGGGGTATTCTTGGGAGGTTCTGGACTCAATACCCAGAGCTCGTCGATGGCCTTGATTCGGGCATTTTGGTACCCGAAGAGCATCTATTGTCTATCTAACAAATGAGAGGCGTAATAGTACAGGAATCCTTATCTAATCCGCAAATAAAATCGGTCGCCATCCAGCACATGCGCCGTTTCCACGATACTGAACTACTTACGAGTGCTCAGTCTGGCATAGGTTACCTCCTGCCAATATGCCAAGAGCATCGACGTTGCTCCGGGACCAACCAAGATCTGACCGAGACAGATGCCCGCTGCAGCCTTTGCGGCCTCTCTGGTTGTGACGTAGCCACGACGGCGAAGATCCCACGTCGAATACAGTCCACTGACCAGCCATGCGCAGCTGGCGATCCCAAAATCGTACTTGAGGAACGTTGCGATCTGGCTTCCTGTATCCGGCAGATTCCATGTTGCCTTGAAAGGACTTGGTACACGGAAAAAAATGTCAGCAACAGACATGTCCCGGCCGAAACAGGCGTATGCCATTGTCGCTAAGTGTACCGCGGCCTGGACTCCAGCAGTCCAGAGATATTCCCTCTTCAGAGCTTGTGTTGCGTCAGCAACATCCTTTCGTTGCGATGACGCATCGCCCTTCTCAGGCCCCGGCACCTGCTGTCGCGACTGCCGTCTACCGATATAACGTCTCCACATAGAGGTCAGGGCTGGCACAAAGAGCGGCGAGAACTGCCAAATGGCAGTGATATTCTGCTTGACTGAATTGGTGAACCCAGGCGCCAGCATCAAGGCTGTAGGAAGTCCGTATCCCAGAGCCAGAGCCGGCAGCAAAGCCTCACTAGTCTCTGGCGAGATGAAGCGGGTGGTCGGCAAATTGTCACCCTGAGCAGCTTCGAGGAGCGCATGCGTGGGGGCAACATAGCCAATACCGAGGACTTGCATGATGCCGAGGAAAACACTTGGCAGCGAGAGAGGATGTAGACGATTGCAAGCTCGGTGTCCGTCGACAGTGTATGACAAGATGGGCGCTGCAAGATGCGTCATGAAGTATATGAGTTGCACTCTGCTCGCAGGCGGTTGTCCTTCCAGGGGATAGGAAAAGGCAGACATGATGGCCTTGAACAGACCCCCTCCGAGGCCTGACCAGGGCCGTGAAATGGCCGTCAGTCCGGTCCAGTCATTGAGGCCTGCAGCCGGAAGGCGCATTGACTTGCTCGCAAGCCAGATCAGAGAGAGCATGCCCGCACTGAAACATCCTGTCGCCACTTGACCTATCGCGCCACTCAGAGGTCGCGCTGGAAGCTCATCATTGAAGGGAACCGCCCGGTTACGGGAAGGGATCGGCAGCTTCTCCAGCCTGGCACCGTCAATAAATGGCTTTCCAAGTATTGAGAAAAACATTTCGTCTCCTCCCAGTGGCCCAAGAACATTCATGAACAGTTTGGACATGACTTTGTTCTCATGGGCACTGAGATATTGTTGATAGTGAGCATCGGCGATGAGATACTTTTCGCGCTCGTGTCTGGCTGACTGGGTCTGCGAAAATATCTTTTCAAAATCGGCTTCATCAAAGTCCCCCAGACCACCTAATTTGGCATCTCGCATGCGCACAATGGCGTTGACGAGCTCGGCGACAGACTCGATGGCACCATTGCCGCCTTGGCCGGAGATGGGGTTGGGCTAAGAAGTTAGCGAAACAAAGTCATGAGTCTGGTTTCAAGATCCTCTACTCACCTTGTGCGCGGAATCTCCTAGCAATATGATGCGTTCAAAGAACCACTTCTTCCAGACCATCTCATGTAATGGTGTCAGAGTGGAGCTGAGCTTCTTGGAGTAGATTTGGCCGAACGTAACCTTGTCTGTAATCGCCTTGTCCCAGAATTCTTTGACCTTGAGTAGTTATTAGCATTGACTCCTTGGCGTTTTCTGTATATATTCAAATGCTGGCGACGTAGTACTTTGCCGAGCGCTTTATCTGGGGAATTGGAAAAAGCCGAGCTACTTACAAATTCCGCCTCATCCTCCTTCGTATACTTGGGAATATTCGATCCATACTTGGGCTTCGGGAGGCGGTCAAAGAGGAACCAATACACTCGATCCTCGGGACCCGATATGATCAGCCCTGACCAGTTTTCGGCCCAGATTCGATTCAACTCGCCATTTGCATAGCCGGGGACATGCTGGGCGATACCGAAGCTACATCTGTAGAAGCACGGGACGCGTTCCGGCTCGCCTACGGGAAAATAACCTGGGCGCAGCGTGTTGCCAAGACGGATCATTTCGTCACGTACGGTGCTGTGTACGCCATCGGCACCCACGATCATAGAGCCCACGACAACTTGGCCATCCTTGGTGATGACTTGGACACTGCCACCAACGAGTCGGATCTTGGCAACCTTCATGCCAAGCGCAACTCTCTCCTTGTGCTGTAGATTATCGTACAAGAGCTTGAGAAGCCATTGCCGATCAAAGAACAAGACGGGATAACCGTGCCTTCAAATTCAAATCAGCATAAAAGCCCCAGTCAGACAAGGATGACCATGATGATGGGCCTACCTTATTTCAAGCTGCTCGCTGACATTGGAAATCTTGGAGAGGCTCTTGCCTTGTGAGTTTCGGTTATGTGACGTTGTTATGAGTCGCTGGGGCAGGGCAAGAACTCGCTCGTAGCAGCCAATCTGATCGAGAATACGAAGGCCATTGGGAAATAGGCCAATGCTTGCTCCGACGGCTGGAGCTATTTCACTGTGTGATTCGAGAATGATGTAGTTAATGTCGAGTTTCTCGAGCATGTTGGCCAGCGTCAAGCCGGCCACGCCGCCGCCAACAATGACAACTCGATCAAAGTCTGACATTTTTTCAAAGTTGCTGGTTTGCATGAGGATGGGATTTCTGTATTGTTCCTCGACGGCATACCGTGGTTATTGTTCTTATATACATTGTTCGCGGCATCATCGGCCATGGCTGTGCTGGCCCCCCTTCTTGGAAATTTCTGAATCATCTCCACTATGCTTTGAGATTTGATGTCACCCTCGCGAGAGAATCACCGGTATATCCATATGGTGCGACAGTCCGACGGTCGACTCGCTTATTAAACCAGGAGGGACTTGATAGGCGACTCAGTGTGCGACTCACTAACGGCCCCACGGGCGACTCACCACAGACCCACTGCGCGAGTCGCTCAGCGACTCACTGCTATGTGGGCCATGGGATGACAGAGTGCTATAATGCGGGAGCCAGTTTAGGTAATTAGCCGTATTATAGTAACATCATGATTCACAAGTAAAGGACCTGAAGAACTACAAACTACATTGTAATGAAATAATCAACATGTCCATTGAAGCAAGTTCAACCACAATTTCGCTGCATGCATCCAACATCATGAATATCATGGTCGGATTTGTAAACATCATCTATCTATTTAATCAAGATCTTGCCGGTACTAACGAACTCACTGATTTTTTATTTATTTAATTTGTCTTTTTTTTTCTCTCTCTCTCGAAACGCCAGAAATGTCTTGCTCCGAAGGTTAGATACTGAAGACCCGTTGCGGATAATGAAAGCGATAGTTGGTCATCGGATCAATGGCATTCCGGGCTTACGGCAGTCCCATTGAAGACGGCAGCTGAAGTCTGCTTTCAGAATTCACTTTGGTGCTCCGGGAATGCCTTTAAGCGAACCTCTGCCTATTACGTATGAATGGCACTTCAGTGGTAGAGCGCTGAACAGACTACCTGTTACACACTAAAATGATGGCAATCCGATTCTGCCAGGCTCGTTCTCGATCACACGCGCAACTACATCGGAATTTACTGGGCACGTTGCCTGATTGTCGGCGGCATTGTTCATAGCCGGCGTATCGGCACCATTCAAAATGCTCAGTGCAGAGATAAATCTTGAATGTTTAGTCCAATAGTTAGGATGGCTTAGGGATGCTGCATCGCGACTTGGAATGACGGTACTTCATTGCTGGCGTGTAGGGCGGAAAATCACCAAATCAGCGGCCATTATCATCATAGATAAACTGAACAGCCGACTGGTTACGAGCGACGGCCTCTACCGTTATCGCAATATGTTGACTGTATTGAAGAGGCTCAAAGCAACCTGGGGGCAATGGTTACCGATATCCTCTCTCTGAGTCAGAAGCGCTCTCGATCAATTCGAGGAAAAGCACGGCGTACGTCGTGGCGCTGGTATCATAACCTTATATTGCAAAATTTTCAACAGCATGCAGGCTGATCCAGCGAAGCGAAGCGCTTCCGCTTGCTCACGGCACTGGTCACTTTACAGTATTTAATCACCTTGGGACAAGAAATTAACAGAGTAAGCAGATGCGATGTTGGTGGTCTGGAGGTCCCCCCTTCATCAAGCTCTTGCCTCGTTCAGTGTTTGAAAACCTGCCCGCCGTAAGTAACCCAACCAGCCGTTTGCACCTCCAGCGAGGTTCCGTTGTTGCCACAGCACAACCACTTGGGAGGGTTTTCTACCAGGCACCAGCTTAGCAAGTTTTTCTTTTCCAAATCTTCACACTGCAGGACCTTGGAATTGGCGCAATCTTTTGCAATCTGCCGCATCCACTCGCATCACCACAATCACCGAGTCTCCCATCATGGCGTTCCTTCCAAAGAAGGAAGAAGAGCAGGACCAGTAAGTCACACCCTCCTATCAGCCCTCGGATGCACATAATATTCCATCATTTGCCTTCTCGAGCGCTTACGAGACGTCTGTTGCAGAGTGCTTCCGTCAGATGAGTGCACTAGATTAGTCGTGGTAGACGGCAGTCGGGTCATTACGCACTATGTCTACAAGAGTCAGCTCTGCAAGAAAGCCCCCGTGTTTATTCAACTTGCCGAGATGCCGGCCGTCAAGTTCCACGGATGGCGCCTCGAGACTGTGCAGAGCTTTGTCACCTGGTTGGAGACTGGCGCTATTGAGGTCAGAGGCCTGACCAACGGCCGCATTGATGTCGAGGAGGCGCTCAAGTTCGATTTGTGCGCCAATATCCCAAAGTATAACATGGGAGCTGAAGGTCAAGATTCAGATGGTGCCCCTGCCGACATCGCTCCGGTAAGTGTTTTCCGTCCGACCGTGATTGTCATGCTATTTCTTCTGTGCTGGGCAAAATGCTTCCAAGATGATGACTCGACTTATCCTGGCGATCGCTAATCATGAGTTATTCAGTGGTATACCATGTTCTCAGGGGACCCAATAGCTCACACTCTGGGTCGGGTCTTGGATCTCTACATCTTCGCCCTCCAGGGAAACATCACGACCCTCATCAATGCTTGCGTGCTTGCCTGGCAGCGCCTTCTGTGCGCACCACACAATGTCGTGTTGTACTCACCACTCATCAACGCAGTCCTCCGACGCGCCAAGTGGGATGGCCCTCTAAACAGGTTCCTGATTGACTGGACCGCGTTCATCATGCACGACGGTGAATGGGAACAGGCCAAACTCGTCTCGCTCCCCGGAGTGGCCATTGCCGAGATCTTGCGTCGTGTCCTCCAACGCGCCAACTACGGTGTCAACACCCCGCATGGTCTTCCTGATCCAAATTTGGATTGGTGCCGTTACCATGACCACTCTGAGATTAAGGATCGACTGCTTTGCATGGCCTCACGTACGGAAGATTGGGACATACGACAAGGCACCCGTGGTAGCGATCCCACGCGCACGTCAGAGTCTCTGGAATCCAAGACTCCTAATTCCCTGCTATCTGACGGTGTATCTATGATTCAGCCTAAGATGGAAGATACGCAGTAGCACCCTGTCCACTTCATCCAAGAGTGAGCCAGACATGGTTATAAGGAGGATGAGATTCGTGAGAAGGAAGCTCGGAGAATCACTAGACGATATTAGGATCGCGTGTTGTTCGTAGCAGGGTATCATGTCGTTGCTAATAGTACAAGTTTGTACACGGCCTTTATAAGGCTTTCATATGTAGATACAGGTTTCGCAGGGTAGTAATCAGATTTAGCTGGAGCAGCAGCCACCACCGATCTTGACCGTCTTTCCTCCTGCCATCTTGACTGTATCGTTGTCGCCGCGTTCCGTGTGCTCGTGTATCCTCAACTCTGTTTACCGTGTTAGCCACTGGTCGAAGCCGAATGTTTCTGATCGACGTACTATACTTGTCGCCACTCCTTCTGCCTTGTACAACATTCTCTCGCAGTATCGTTGCCACGTCTTCGGCGTGTTTAATGTGGCCATCAATCTCGGGGCTCTTGGGGTCTAGAGATGCATTCTCGCGAAAGCCAGTACGAATTTGGGCGCGCGCTGCGTTCAAGATCGGTTGGTCTCCTGGAATATCGGTCAGATATGCGCAGATACACACGGGTATCGTGGTTCAGGGGGATAAGTACCCTGAAAGGCAATGCGGGCTGCGCGGAGCAGATGCCTGTATGCTGCAATTGCTGCCATGGTGTGTGAAGACTGGGCGCTTGAATAACGATATTACGACAAGAGGATCAAGTCTACGGTTGAATCTGGTAAAGCGGCTTCCAAGTTGACCAATTGCATAAGAATTGGGCTGTTTCTCGAGATGCGATCCGGCTCTTTTCGTTGCTGTACGAGGCCCGTCGTTCAGAGAAAAAATCGTGGCGCAAGAGGATAGCTGAACACTATCAAGTACAGTGTACCTTGTACAAGTGTGGCGTAAGGCTTCTCTAGTTATCCACTGCTAGTGGTTTTTGTGGCGCTAATCCCTGCCAATCGGTCAGAAAAATATTTCCCCAAAATCTGCCCACGGTCAGCGAGCTGCTCTCTTTTGGCTGCTTGCGATCATCTTTCAGTTCGTTTACAGCAGACGAAAACAAAGAACAAAAGATGGCTTCCGCTACTGTTGTTTCGAAGCCCCTCCCCACCCTCCCCGAGGGCTGGTCGGCAGAGAAGGACTTCAAGCCCATTGCTTCCGTCACCACTTCCACCAAGCGCACCATTGAGCCTGTTGGCCCTCACTTCCTGGCCCACGCCCGTCGTGCCCGCCACAAGCGCACCTTTTCCGAGGACGACCGCATCGAGGCCCAGAATGCCGCCAAGAAGATTGAGAAGGACGACGACAGTGATGACAGCGAGCCCGAGGACCCCATGATGCTCCAGCGGGAGGCCAAGGACTGGAAGGTATGTTGGGCTTTTTCCCCACTCAAGACCACACAATGGGAGCTATACTAACGTTCTATAACTACAGTCGCAAGATCACTACGAGGTTCTGGGTATAACCAAGTACCGATGGAAGGCCACCGAGGACCAGATCAAGCGTGCCCACCGCAAGAAGGTCCTCAAGCACCACCCCGACAAGAAGGCTGCCTCGGGTGCCACCGAGGACGACAACTTCTTCAAGTGCATCCAAAAGGCCACCGATGTCCTGCTCGACCCCGTCAAGCGTCGCCAGTTCGACTCGGTCGACGAAAAGGCCGATGTTGAGCCCCCGAGCAAGAAGGAGGCCCAGAAGAACTTTTACAAGACCTGGGGCCGAGTCTTCAAGTCCGAGTCCCGCTTCAGCAAGATCCAGCCCGTGCCCCAGCTCGGCGGCGAGAACTCCACCAAGGAGGAGGTTGACGTTTTCTACAACTTTTGGTACAACTTTGACAGCTGGAGGTCCTTTGAGTACCTTGACGAGGATGTGCCCGATGACAATGAGAACCGTGACCAGAAGCGTCACATGGAGCGCAAGAACATGAACGCCCGCAAGAAGAAGAAGGCCGAGGACAATGCCCGTCTCCGCAAGCTGGTCGATGACTGCCTGGCTGGTGACGAGCGTATCAAGCGCTTCAAGCAGGAGGCCCACGCCGCCAAGAACAAGAAGAAGTTTGAGCGCGAGGAGGCCGAGCGCAAGGCCAAGGAGGAGGCCCGTCTCAAGAAGGAGGCTGAGGAGAAGGCCGCCAAGGAGGCCGAGGAAAAGGCAAAGACGGACCGCGAGGCCTCGAAGAAGGCCAAGGAGGCTGCCAAGACCGCCGTCAAGAAGAACAAGCGTATCCTCAAGGGCAGTGTCAAGGACGCCAACTACTTTGCTGGCAGCGGTGACGCCAGCGCCGCCCAGATCGACTCGGTTCTGGGTGACGTTGACATTATCCAGGGCAAGATTGATCCTGATGAGATTGCTGCTCTTGCTGGCAAGCTCAACGGTCTCAAGGTTGCCGACGAGATCAAGAGCGTCTGGGCCGAGGAGACCAAGAGACTCGTCGACGCCGGCAAGCTCAAGGATGGTGAGGTCAAGACCCTGGCTTAAGGGGCTTGTCTTGTTGTAAACATAAAAGAAACGGGCGAATTGGTGTAGAATGACGCTCGTGGGGGATGGTATAGAACAACAATAGAGGTTGTGAATAGATGTCAAACTCTTACCCAGCCAACATTTAATCCAACTCACGATTTACGATGGTGCAACCATAACTACTCAAGCACGCGTCAAATGGATATCGCGAGCATTCAATTCCGTCGTATCAATCATGACTGTCTCATCAATTCATCGTGGAAGTCCCTCATATGCTAACCAATGCACTGGCTCGCGCGCTGACTCCTCCTCTTCTCGTCCCTCATGACCCTCCAATCCTTTTGCACGCTAATGCCCCCATCGACTTGGAGGTGCTTCTGCCCCCGTCCCGATTCGGACTCCTCGTCGCTGGTTTGATCCCCACCGCGCCGCCCCGACGACTCGACATTAATCTCCGTCTTGCCGTGCCGCGCATGCGCTTGCCCAATCATTTGGAAGCTATCATCCTCGTACTCGTCGTCGTCCAGCTTGGTCAGCCCGGTGAGACTCGAAAAGAGACCGACGCCGACCGTCTTGCGGGACCGTGACCTCCCAATGCCCAAACTGCTCTTTGACTTTTTCCCTCCTGGCCCTTTGGACCTCTCGCTCGGCGCTGCGCCAATGGTGGGCGGGAAAGGTCCGACGCCGGCTCCGGGCGTCTGCTGCTGCTGCTGTTGCTGTTGGTTATGATTCGGGCTCCCTGCGACGCCTGGCACGAAGCGGTCGATTCCAAGCAGATGCAGCGCCGGTTTCATGGACGGTAGACAAGCGCTGACGAGACCGATATTGATCTCGACGGTGGACCAGACAATGACTTCCTTGGTATTGTAGGTAACATCGCTCGACGAAAGCGGGATGCCGACGAGAATGGTGAGGCGGATGATCGAAACAATGGCCACAAAGCAGCCGAGCATGAACATGCCTGCAAGAACGAGTCGCTGCGCAAGTGGTGCGTGTAGCCGTGCCACGTATGGGATCGGCGCCAGCAGGATCAACCAGTCTGTAATCACGTTGGGCGTTGACCCGGAGATATACACCACCCCCAGGGAGATGCATTTCGAATCTGTAATGGTGAGATCCCATTGTGCAGAAATGGGCGAGCACGTAAAGATCACCAGGAAGATCTAGGGGTCGAGGACATGAGTTAGCACACTCAGTTCAAGCTGCAGAAGACGACAGCAAGTCAAAGCAGTATGAGAAAGCACTTACGATCGATATAGCCCAGGCCGTCACGATAAAGAGGCCAATGAAAATTGGGATTCTTGCTCGCAACGAAAACAGCCGCCAGTAGAATGCCAGGATAGTGTACTTGATCATGGCCAGAGAGATCACGTAGAACAACTGACCAGCAAATAGAAAGCGAAGAAAGTCAATGACCTGTGGAAGCGGCACATCCTCGAGAGCATGTCGAGCAAGGTACGGCCACATGCCTACCGCGGTCATGATTAGTCTCCATATCAATGGATCAAAGATGCAGGTACGCCAGCACGTCTGGAAGAGAGAAACTCACCGCACATGCAAATGTAGAAGAATACGTTGGCACAAGCTAGTGCCAATACACAAAGGTAGTCGTCCAACCCTAGACCCTTCCATCCGGATACAGCAGTCCGACACCATAACTTGAGAGGCACGACCAACATGACGAGTATATAGGTTGATATTGCAGCTCCGTTGAGCCTCGCCCTGAACTGCTCTAGATCCTCCGCCATCGTGGCATTGAAGTCGAATCAATGTGCCCGTTGTTTCTGTTGTTGTTGAACAGACTCAAGACCCGACTGACATGGGACGAACCACCTTCTTCCCACACAGCAAAAGCCACCGAAAGGTAGCAAAAGATCTATCGCTGTACCAGCCTAAACAATGATTGCCACTGAAGTGTTGAGCAGAACATTTTGCGTCGAGAATCACTTCAGGACCGAGACACTGGTCATGGGCACGTGCACATTATTGACAAGACTCATGATCCCCGCGGCCCAGCACACTGGAACTATCTTTCCATCAGGTGGATGGCAGCGTACTCTGGCGATCATTGTTCAGGGCAGACAGAGCGAAAATTTCCCTCCGTGCCAGGGATGGTAAGGGAAATCAACATCTAGGGCGCGCATGTCTCCATACACTACATTATAATATACAAGGTAAAAGTGGATTTTTGGGATTATAGACCATGTTGCAAAGATTCGGATGGAAGAGCCGTAGCTGGGTTTGTCGGTGGCCCCGGGAATATCGACTTGTTCTGGTCTTCCAAGTTCCGGGGATACTCCTCATATTCGCGGTAGTATACTCAACGCAAGTCTGGTCCTCTGCATCTTCGTACGTGCCCGGTGGACTGGGACCTGCCCGGACTATTGCTTCCGCAGGCCCAAGGACGAGGCTGTCCAGTGTTTCTTTCGTTCTTTCCGAGGTCTGATGGATGAAAAAATGAGGCAACTCGATGGTCCCAAGGTTTTCAAAGATTTTCAACTGGAGCATCCGTAGAGTCTCTCAAGTCCACCTTGCACGAAACTGCACTAATAGCCGATGATGCTGAATCTTCATCACCATGTGGGTCTAGAGAGTAAACTACATGTTTTCAAGTTAGTCGTACTCGGGCATACCTACCGTAGCCGCCGCCTGCGAGGACGTTGACGCTTGCTCTAGTATTCACGATTAGCGCCAAACTTGGGCCAGTTTGTTTCATACAGACAGAAATATCTGGAGCCCTCCTCACACTCGAATAGCAGACTCTTTTGACCGCTTGCGTCAGTCGAGTTGCATGGAATTCCATCACGCAACACAGACAGACAATGATTATCTAGGTCGCGTTCACAAAAGTCAGCCCGGCGTGCGCCGCTCAATGTTGTCGGTCGATTGGGCTTATATCCGCAGGCTGTGGGTCGCGAACACCTAAGCAGCAATTCATAGGATTGGCATCCTTGTAGGGCGAAAGATTCCATTGCGGGCCGCGTCGACTTTTGGAAAGAACATTTCTCTAAGGGTGAAATCGCTGTGCTGCATCATGCATGCACCGGTTCTGTCGGAAACATAAAAACTTGAACAAGCACATTGGCCATGCCATATGTCTAATACTCAGTTTCTAGCGATTGGTACTAGCCGCAAGAATGCCATGCAGTTTTTATGACCATTCTGCCAAGAGAAATTAGAAGAAATATCGACTTTCCCTATTTCTGTACAAATAAGGAGAAAAAGAACCGGCGGATGATAATCAGTTAGATATGCATTTGTATGTGTAAATCGCAACTTCAATAGAAGCCTGCCACAACAGTAGATTTTGTCGGTGCTTCTATCGAACCGGCAGCAAACCGGGTGGAGGACAGGCTCCGCAGAGACCATGAACTGCCCCAGAAAAGAGAAAACGGCCCTACCAGGTTTGCTATGCCTGCGTCGGCAATTTGACGATTCGCTTTTCTTCAGCGCAATCCCAGCACAATGATAGGGCCCTCGGGGGCCCAGCTAGGCGGTCCCATGGATATCCATATTTCAATTTCGGATCAGGTATCCGCGTGGGCCACCGAAAGACGTATGCTCAAATTCCCATTGGGCCGCTTGCCGTGGCATCAAATCAACCACTTGCATCTCACGTTTTTGACATCATGGCCAAGTCATGCGTAGCTTGCTAGTAGCAGCATATTGCCATACTTATTCGCTGCGAACGTCACTCGCATCATGTCGGCAGATAATGAAGGCTGTGCCCCTCCAAATACCTCCAGTGTCGACTTCTAGGGAGCATACATCCTGTAAATTGCCGAGAATGTGTAGAGAAAAGTGTACTCTTATAAGTGGCTCGACATCAGCAGCCCTGCCAAATATAATCCAATGGTGTCCCCAGGGTGGTCCTGGAAGTTATCCGGACTCCATCATGCTTTGCCTGATATGAAATGCAAAGTGGATTGCTCCGCCATTGACACTTTTTTTCCTGCAGCATATGGATGCAACATGCAAACAAAATCCTGCAGACCTCATCAATCCATCTTTTGACAGATCCTCCGACGCTGACAGAGATGTATCTTGAGTCTCTGCTTCGAAGGGCGTCGACCTGCGACTTGTTCGCCTGGGCTTCTGCCTTGGCCCTCGCTTGTGTGATCACAACTGCGATTTACCGACTATATTTCCACCCTCTTGCAAAGTATCCCGGCCCATTCTTGGCTCGTGTGTCGAGTTTCCCATCCTATTGGCATACCCTCAAAAGAGACAGGCATATTTGGCTTTGGCGCCTACAAGAGGAATATGGTAAGCACTATAACCGACCACAGAAATCAACAATTAACGGCCCCGGCGTATAGGTCACACGTTTCGCTACCGCCCAAACAGCGTGCTCATCAACACGCCTGCGGCATATCGTACACTTTTTGGGCCTCAGGGCAACGTCAAGAAGGCCCTCTACTATGAAGTTTGGCCACGAAACGTAGATGCATTGACTACATGGAACAGCACGACCATTGCAACCCATGCGCGAAAGCGCCGGGTGCTCAATCAGGCATTCTCAAACGAGGCGCTCAAGTCTATTGAGCCATTCGTGCTGTCCAATGCTGACAGGTGGTGTGAACTTATTGCCAGCGAGGCTGCTAGGGGCACCAGCGGTTGGTCGCAGTCCCTGAACATGGCCGATTGGGTCAACTGGCTTGTTTTTGACATCCTGGGCGATCTCTGCTTTGGAAAGTCCTTTGACATGAAGGAGCCCAAGAGCGAGCTACGATATGTACCCCATCTCATGGCAGAGTTTCTGGTGCTCATGCATCCTATTGCTTACTCGCCGTTTGCTGGATTCTGGGTATGGGCAAAGCCAAGAGGGTTGGACTACCTGCTGTCCTTCGCATCGCCTCCGGCTCTGAAGAATTGGGAATCGTTTGTGGAAAAGTGTCTTGCAGACCGTACCAAGATGGAAGCCGACCTGGAGAAATCGGAAAAGACGGTCGAAGGGCGCAAGGACTTCTTTCATTACCTTTTCCACGCGGTGGATCCAGAGACAGGCAAGAGAGGATTTCCACTGGATGAACTCTATGGTGAGGCCGAGTCTCTGATCATTGCTGGTTCCGATACTACCTCAATCATCATGAGTGCCATGTTCTTCTATCTGGCTCGAAACCGAGTGGTTCAGGAGAAGCTCGCAAAGGAGGTTCTCTCGACGTTTGAGAGTGCGGCCGAGATCAGAAGCGGGCCCAAGCTTGGTAGCTGCAAGTACCTGCGCGCCTTCATCCAGGAGGCTCTTCGCATGACACCACCAGTGAGCGCGGAGCCTTCGCGAACAGTCATGAAGGGTGGCACGACTGCTGATAGCCAGTACTTCCCCGAGGGGACGGACATCAGCGTCGGCTTGTATTGTCTCAGTTACAGCAAGGACGTCTTTCAGGATCCTTTCCAGTTCAAGCCGGAGCGTTGGATTGTCGGCGAGGACGGTGCGACAGAGGAGAGTGTTGAGCTGGCCGAATCTGGATTCTGTGCATTCTCCTATGGATCCCGTGGCTGTCCGGGTAAGCAGGTTGCCTGGATGGAAATGACCATTGTCATGGCCAAGGTTGTATTCAACTTTGAGCTCAGACCGGATGCCGAGAACAAGCTTGGCGCTGGCGACCCGATGAATGGAAAACCTGGACGCCGGAATGCGGAACAGTATCAGACCTATGATGCGTTCGTATGTATGAGAGATGGACCGATGGTGCAGTTCAAGAAGCGATAGGCTCCAGGTCCAGGTGCCAGGCAGGCAGATACCCCCCTGATTCGGCACGTGCTAATAATGTAATGCAGTGGGGGGTTCCAGTCTTGCATTGCATTTTTGGTGCATCTCCAGGAGGGTGGGTTGGTTCGGCATTCAGTCGCTGCGTTTCGGATTACTCGGTGCGTGTATATAGCTTCGAACCTACCTATTAATCAATTAATCAAACCTAATTGTACAATGTAACGTGGAACATGGCGTCTCTACCTATCGAATATTCGCGCATACCTCTGCAAGCCATGGAGACATGATGGGAGACATTGCTTACCTTTGTCACACTGTAGAGCCCATTGGCCAATTGCGATTTTGGCAGCCATGGTTCAATACCATACCTATCCATGTAACACGACCAGCGCCGACGTCGGTCTAGGCCATCAGCCATTGGAAGGACTGTATAGGCGAGACTTCATCCTCACAGGTGTCAAATAGGGAAAACCGATGAGATGGCATCAATCGTGGCGGGTATTGAGCACAACGTACGTACGTCAATGTAGGTAGGTAAGGTACAGAGTACCATGGTAGTGCTGGGTTGCGTTTAGGGAAGCTAGCTGCCAAGGGGCCCCGACTCGCTACCTGCCTCCTGCTAATCCTGCTGCCACACTGGGCGCTGCATACACGAGAGAGAACGCGTCAAATGCAGTGTCCCCTAGGCGTCTCCCTCCCACCAAGCGGAAAGAGATAAACGGTCGCGCTGCACATGCATGCATCGTCCAAAGGCACATACAAACAGACATTTTGGTTCTTCTCATCATCGTTGTCGTCCGTAAAACGGCAAGCGGATAGTGTTCACATGGGCAATCAATCAATCAATCGATCAATCAAAGCAGCCAGCAAGCACAATTGGCCCCACCTTTGAGTTGCAAAGAATAAAAAAGGGCCTGCCTCCCCAGAGGTAGATCAGACTATCAAAGGGTCAATGCACGTCAGTCAGCACTTGAAGATCAGGTCGAAAACGATAGATCAAAACCGATAGCCGTGATCGCCGGGTGTCTTTTCCCAAATCCTTATTTTGTTTTGCAGTTCCCAAAATTGCATTTCAGGGGAAACTTCATCGCGAGTCATCACCTCTTTGTGCCAGACAACTGGACACGACTAGACTAGGCGCACCAACCGTTGCAAGTCAGAATCATAGCACCATGGCTCCCTATAGAACGGCATTAGTAAGTCAATCCCTGAACAAAGTGCCCAAATCCTCTTGCTAAAAGCCGACATGTAGACAATTGTCGTCTTGGCATTGTTGGCGCCGTTTCTCTATGACCGATCGCAAGTCCTGGTAGGATTCTACAAGAACAATCCCATCAGGCTATCCAAAGTGAATGCTTTGGGACAGCAAGACATCAAATTTGCCGACAAGATCAGGAGCTGTGAGGATGCAATCATCATTGAAAGTGCTGGCGTCGCTATCCTACCGTGCGATGCTGGTAGAGAGAGATGGAACACGGTCATGGTGAGTGCCCTCCATAGAGAAAATATGCGGCCATTGTATTGCAATCGCCCCATCGACGAAATACATTAGACATTTGATTGACACTACCTAGGGGTTCTTTGTACCTGGCCCGGTTCCTAGAGGAGAGCTCTATCTGTATGACTACAAAAATGCTGCAGCTCCAGACTCCGAGTCTCTGAAGCGCCTTGAAGTCATCGACTATGCCCCGGGTGATGATTATCATTCACTTGGCGTGGCTTTTGACGAGCCCACTTCCACGCTTTTTGTGGCCAACCACCGTCACGATGGCCCGAGGGTTGATCTGTTCAAGCTCGATTTAGCTGCGTTGAAGGCAACACACATTCGCTCGGTTGCGCATCCGCTAATCCACGGACCCAACGCCATTACCCTCCGCAACAGCAACGAATTCTTCGTGACCAACGACCACCACTTCACTTGGGCCCAGAGCCGTTTCTTGACGCAGGCGGAGACATACCTAGCTCTGCCTTTGGGCACAGTCGTGCATGTGGACATTTCTGACCCCGATACCACCAAAGCGACTGTCGTGGCGCGGGTGCCTTTCGCCAACGGCATCGAATTGGTGAATAAGACAACCGTGGCGGTTGCCTCTAGCAGCAAGGCTCAGGTAAACCTTTACAGCATTGTCGATGGCGAACAATCCGGGTCCGCTCCGGCCCTCACTTACAGCTCGGCAATCAAGCTGCCATACCACGTTGACAATCTATCTCTGACTTCGGACGGGCGGCTGCTGATGGCAGGTCACCCCCACCTACCAAGTCTCACCAAATATGCCGCGTCCCGATGGATATGCAACGACGCGACAGAGCTTGCCAAGGCAGATGGCACGATGAAGGAGTATTGCGCGACCGGACAGGCTGCCTCGGGTGCATCCGAATGGACCGAGGCCGGTGGCTTGCGACACCTATACATTGACACCGAGTACCCAACTAGTGCTTCGGTCAATTACGACCCTGACCGCAAAGTAGGAATCATTACAGGACTTTACGCAAAAGGAATACTTGTCTGGAGAGATTGATTTGTTCATTGTTGATGCAGTAAAGGGTGTTGGCGGCAGTCAGCGATTTCTTGCATAGAATAAAAACTGGCAAGCTAGATCTGCTTTGGTCAATAAACTGGATTTTCTTACATTTAGATATATTGCACTTCTCAGATTCACTTTACATCGTCTTCTTACAAACCTTCTCGTTGCTTCAAATCCAATTGTTTTTGCTCCTCAAAGCAAAACTTGGAATAAAATTATAAGGGGATGAATCGAAGTAGCAGTTGAATACTTCAAGATATTGTTTATCAAATAAGTCCATCCCTGACGGCTTGGATATCTGGAAGGCATAAACAGTATTTACACTGGTATGGATCTTCAGTCACTGACAAACCATCAGTAACATTAGAGTTGAAGGGAGGCATGTGAACTCTATCTCAAGTTAAAATTTCTTAGTCCATCCGGGTGTGAAAGACTTCATGTCTTTGTTTGTGAGTGGCGAAGCCTTCAAGATTAAATCCGCCGCCAGTCTTTTTCAAATGTAAATTTGACAAAATGCACAAGGCAGTCGACTTTGTTCAACTCTGCATCTCTCCATCACTCAGCACTCAGCCGTGGGCCTAGCGTGGTTGCCATTTATTCATGAGCCAGGCATCAACACCAATTTTGCTATCACCACTAGCCAGCTGCACACAAGCTATTGAGCGGTGGGCTACGAGCGCCATCCCACTTTTCTTTCACTAGGGTGACTTCCCGCGGCGCTGGAAAGCCCACCGGAACTCTTGTTAAAGCTTCAAGGCTTCTTTCGTTTGTTCTTCGGTGACAGAAGCAGACACACTGCAAATCACAACAACCTCGCAAATCACAACGGTATCACACTCAGAACGCGCCATAATACAGCGAGTATTTGCATGTTTCTGCTGGCTCACACGTCTTTGAGTTCAAACCAATATCTCATTTGTACCAAGGATAATTCAGACTGCAACAATGCGCGGAAACCGATTTACCCAGCCTCCCAATGAGGAGCGCGGCCCCGATCCAGAAACCTGTAAGTAAATTCACTTGTTTGTTCCTCCACTACAAGCGTTCTGGAACAAGAAGACTGGAGTGTTTGTGCATTGTCAAGTTTTCTTCCTTTGAAAGCTTCATTTGCAAACTTTGGTTGAATAGCATAGTCATGGAACTCGGGGCAGATCTACATTGCTAACGATCTGAGCTTGACAGTGAGTAGATTCATCCATGCCATGAATGAACGCCGCATCAAGTCTCTTATAGAAGGTCTAGAGGACAATAAACGTGAGCTGAAGGAGAAGAATCGAGAGCTGGCTACCGAACAGCTTGTGTCTTCCAACTTGCGAACTGTCATTGACCAACAGAAGACGAAGGTCGCAAAGTTGAATGACGAGAACAATGATTTGCGCCGTGCTCTAAGCACTGTCGGCGGTCAGTTTTTCCGCCAGGTCAAGGAGACTAGGAGCAAGATCACAGAGGTACTGGACACCACGCAGCCGCACACCTTTGGCACGAACAAATTCAAGGGCCAGGAAGAGTCCAGTGCAACGACTGCCACGACTGCCACGGACAATTATCAGCTCTGGTACGATACGATCGTGGATCCCGATTGCAGCACTCAAGAACTCGCCGAGCAGCTCGACTGCGCTGCCACCCTAATGGCGATGTCACGCGGAGAAGTTCTTGGCGTTTGCGAGGGGGCAGAGGCCACCCAAGCCAAGCCTGCTTCTGCCGTTACTGGTGATGACGACCACCGAGCCCCGATACACGTTCCTAAGAAGCAGCGTCGTGCTAAGAAGGACAAGAACAAGAATGGATCTAACTGAGCTTGGCTTTTGGCCGTTTGAGTATACCGCCATTTTTGTGCGATGCTTTGTACAATCCCGTTGTAAACCATCTTCTCGTTGAATAAGGTCGGAGAAGCAGTAATTGTGTAAGATCAATGATACCAAATCTAGGACACAAATTCTCTGCTATGATTATTTCCATCTCTGCCACTATGTTTTCATCTTTATGCGTTGCCGACTTCGAGCGGATCAAGTACTGTCACTTTCCACACAGCCTAACATCAGGTAAAAATGGACAGGTTGACTGTTTCCATGACATGACACAGGGTGTCTGGACATGGAGGTCACATAGAAGTGTACAGGTCATGTGGTACGGGGAAGCATCTAACCTAGAGACTCGTCTAGAGATCCGCCCTGCTCTGAATTGATACATACATGTCGACGCGTTGCTCGTGATATGCAGCCTCTGTTAAGTCAGCGCAGAGTTTTCGCTCCCAGTGCGATTCTTCATTTGAATCTTCCTCCCACACGACGAACAAACTGGCTCATGTATGTCTCATAGATTTACCGAAAACTCCAAGTTTTCATTCTTTTTCAGCAAAAGTAGTCTAAACGCTTGTTTCCGAGATGATTTGCAGCGTCCCGTGGCTCTCCAGCTGCCTGCACAACTTGGATGGGAGGCACGTATGAAACGCGAGATTGGAGGAGAGGGGATAATCAAATAAATCCAAGTCGAGATCGATGCATTTCTAAGTTTTCAAGTTAAGCTCTAGCAGGTAATTGATTACAAAATGAATCAATCAAAACACTAAATAACCGAAGCGCCTACGTAATCAGCAAGACAATCAATTCGTTGACCTCGATTGAGTTTCCATTCCAGTACTGAAAACACCGAGGCGTTTGCTTTTTGGCCGAAACCTTTCTGGTCGAGGCCTTGTGACCAAACCTTCTCTTCTTCCTCTTTCCAACCTAGATTTGGAAGTCAGTTTACTGCAAACGAACCCACCGGCGATCAGGCAGCCAGGGCAGCCACGACCTAAATTCTACCTGCAAGGTCCCTGCATACTTTCCAAACGTCTAATCATCAACTGCTATCGGTGCCTTGGCGCACAATTTCCATTCAGCGATTTGCGGCTTTCTCCCATTCACCTCATGAGCCGATGCGCGCAAGTCCACCGACATTATGGAAGAAACGACGTTAGGCCCAGAAGCACGCCTCCGCTTGAAGCGGGCAGAGCTCTTGCCTAATCTCTACGGTCCTGGCTATTACGAGAGCGAATTGCAAAAGAAGGAGAACGAAATCCAGAAGCTTCTCAACCAAGTCACCAAGCTCCAACAGGAGACGCAAGAGCTGCGCAGGGAGAAGGTCAACCAAAAGCTCGCAGAGGTCAAGCTGGGCAGGGAGAAGGACAAGCTCACCCACACCATTAACATGATGGAATGCAGATACCAAAAACTCGAGGCTAGCACTCAAACCCTCATCCGACAGCACCAGCAGCTCGATACGTCCAAAGAAATGGATTTGCAGCAACACCAAGCCCAAATCCATCAACTCCAGAAGGATGGCGAAACACAGGTATGTAGTACCACCCTAACGACGACCATTGCCACCGAAGGACGCTAACTGTTCCCAGAGACAAGTCATTGCCGCTATGGAGGATGACGTCGACGAGCTCAAGTTCAAGTTGCAAAAGGAGAAGCAGGAGTTCCAGTGGCGTCTCGGTGCCGTGGCAAGCAAGGCGTTAGTCGAAAGCAATGAGCGACACGTCCTTCGGAGGGAGAGATCGCGCCAGAACCAACGGCTGAAGAATCAAGGAGAGATGGTGGAGCATCAGACGAAATATCTCGAGTATCTTACCAACGAACTGAACAAGTCAAAGGCTGCCCAAGCCGATCTCGCACGCCAGTCCGACACGAACGAAGGCCGGGTAAAGGGATGGAAGAGCGCACATGCTTCTGCGATGCAAAGAATTGATGAACTGACCGATCAAATATGCAAGGGCGTAGCAGAACAGAAGACACCTTACGAGCCGAGCAGTCTGCTTCGTGGAGAAAGATGATGGAAATCCACTGTGCCTGCGCTTGAACACATTTCAGGGCTACAAAGCATGCCCCCTGAGAGGAGTCACAAAATTGGGCCATTGCGCTCAAGTAATGACATTTGAGCGAGTAAAAAGCATTGTTCGTCGAAATCTATCCCGAGACACTTGACGCCGGTGTAGGTGACACACATTTTGTAGGTGTATTACATAGCTTTTCCGCCCGCCAACTCCATCTGTAGCTGAGTTGGATTAGTTGAGACTTGCTATAGAACTCTTTGCCCTTCTCTAGTAGACTATTGCCTTGGCGCATGTGTTTGTCTTTCTGCCTTCTCAAATTTGAAAATTTCAACTTGATCGCGACAAGTTACAATTATTATCCTAGTCACGACTCAAAACTCACAGCACGACATTCCATGCGATGCAGCGATACCCACATGCGGATAACGCCGCACTTTCATAGAGACTGAACTCGACCCCTGCAACAAGACTATTGACATGGCGACATTATCGGATGAACGATTCCAGTCTGGGTGGAGATAGACCGGGGAAATATTCGGAGAAGGCACAAAATTGCAACCTACCCCAGAAGCTAGCAAGGATAAGCGTAAACGCGTTGCTGGGAATCGCTTCGCACGAACCCACGTATGTACCCCGGACTGGGGACTTACCCCAACCAATGTGGGCGTAGTTTTGATGACGCGATTGCGACATGTACGGCATGCGGTGAAATGTTTATATCCGAGCGTGATACTTATAAGGCCATCATGGACCCCTCCTGGTTGTTCCCGACAATGGCACTTTGCTCACGGGTACATACAACCGAGCCGTCATGATGCGTGTGAGTATACAGACTCTGGCCCTCGCCTCCTGGCTCACCGGTTGTCATGCCTCGCAAGGACCACTCGCCTCCCGTGACACTGACGTCCCGACTGTGAGTCTGGCCAACGGCACGTACATTGGTCGTCACAGCCCCGAGTATAACCAGGACTTTTTTCTCGGCTTACCATTTGCTCAACCCCCGGTTGGTGCTCTTCGTTATGTCGCCCCGCAGTCTCTCAACTCGACCTGGGAGGAGCCGCGAAACGCGACAGCATATGGACCCGAGTGTATCGGATATGGATTCGATCAGTGGATCTTGGGCAACTACATCAGTGAAGACTGCCTCACGCTCAATGTTGTGCGACCCGAGGGTTATGATGAAGGGGATGACTTGCCGGTCGCGGTGTGGATCCATGGAGGAGTAAGTTGATCACTTGCTGATAGTCGAGAGATGGAGCGCTGATTTGGAACAAAAGTCTTTCAAGAATGGCGGTGGCGTTGATCCCCGCTACAACTTGTCCTTTATCGTGGAGCAGTCTGTACAGTCAAATACGCCAATGATAGCGGTGAGCATACAGTACCGGCTCTCCAACTGGGGATGGCTGTTTAGCGAAGAGCTGTCCGCGATCGGTGCCGGCAACCTTGGACTGCGAGATCAGAGACTGGCACTGCAATGGGTACAAGACAACATCCATGCATTTGGCGGCGATCCATCACAAGTGACAGTCTGGGGCGAGTCTGCTGGTGCCTTTTCCGTCGGTTACCATCTCATGGCCTACGGCGGACGGGACGACGGCTTGTTCCACCAGGCCATTCTGGAGAGCGGTTCGGCCGCCGCAGTCGATCTCACCAACGCTACGCAGTGGCAACCTTACTTTGACGCCGTAGTTGACACTGTGGGGTGCAATGGGACGGCAGATGTGCTCGATTGCCTGAGAGGCCTTCCCTGGGAGACGCTCAACGACGTCTTCAACTCGACTACCTTTCCTATCAGCACGCCCGGAATTGGTGCTCACATTGATGGAGACATTATACTCGAGCAAGGGTACACGTCACTGCGCGAGGGCCGCTTCATCAAAGTCCCCGTGCTGATGGGCATCAATACCGACGAGGGAGCCTCTTTTGCAACACAAGGCATTAACACGACAGAACAATTCATCAACTTTGTCATTAGTACGGGGGCTGACAATGCGACGGCAAACGCCACGGCCGAGGTCTATCCCGACATTCCCGACCAAGGTCTACCTGCAACTCTCAAAGGCCGCCCCGAGGCCTACCCGTGGGGTCTTCAGTGGAAGCGCATGGTTGCCTTTTACGGCGACCTCATCTTCCACGCCGGAAGACGCATGATGGCCGAGGCGTATGCTCGTGCGGGCACGACTGTGTACTCGTACCGCTTCAATGTGCTGGTCAACGGCAACCTGGCCCAGCAGGGATCGAACCACTTCAAGGAGGTTGGGTTCGTTTTTCACAACACCAAGGGGGACGGCTATAATCAGCCCGGAGGCTTGCTCAACCCTTTTGGCGGCAAGGGCCCAGAGTTCTTTGAGCTCGCGGACATTATGAGTGGCATGTGGGTTGCATTCATCACGAGCGGTGACCCAAATACCTACAAGAACTACAGCTCTCGTAAGTTCCATCTCAAGACATGTGCCTCTTGTTTAGAATATTGCTAATTTGTTTTTTGAAATTGCAGACTCCTCGTGCTCCAAATGGCCTCTCTATACAGTAGACAGCCCGCGCAACGTCGTATTTGACGTCAATGTGACTAGCCGGCTCTACCCAGAGCAGGATGACTTTCGCCGACGCGAAATCGAATTTGTGAACGACAACTGGCGTCTGTAGTGGGAATACTTTCTGGATGTAGTCGAGACTAACACGCTGTACATACCTGAATACAATTGCTACGAGGGGTGATGCACGGAACCTCTAAAGCAAATCTTAGCTTTATGCCCTAACACTAGATCTTGTGAGAACCTTGCTGCTACTGTGATCTGGTGCCTCGATTGTGTTTCTTAAGTTCTGCGAGACGTCTCGTGAATAGTGGCACTTATCGACAGTGGTGATCATAAAGAGATACAAACTAGACCCCAAAGTTTATCCGCAATTTGAATCCATCATGTTCACGTCGTTACATTGAAATGTTCGCAGCCTTTCTACCTGTTTCAATGCGTTTTTATGTGTCAGGATGCATTCACGAAATGTGACAAATTTCAAATGCATTGCCACTTCCTTTGAGTCACTGGATGCAGTAGTCTTGGCCCGTTCCAAAGATTTTCCTGTTGGTGCGCCACAGCGTTGCCGTGTTGTGTGGCACCCTTTGAGTGGCACAACGGGAAGGCTTGCTAAGTCTGTTTGTTCGCACACTCTTTTCGTAGATGTAGACCATCTTTTAATGGAAATTCTATTTTGGATACTGGTCCGATCAACTACTGCAAGTACGAGAGTGGCATGCGATCCCTTCCATACTAGGTAGGTACGCTTTGTGCGGTTTTCTGGGCTGGAAAGAACTGTACCCGGTCAAAAGTTGCAGTTGCCATGTCACAAAAGTAGAACGATCCTGAAGATTACCAAAAGTAAGGATGAAGTCAAGTTAGCATTTTTGGCTGATCGTATTGATTTCAGGCTGGCGATACCAAACACAAATACCATCTTGGCTACACTATAACCCCGAGATCCACCATCAACTAGCCAGAATATCAGTGCAAACAGGATGAACCAAGCTCCAAGTAATTTCCAAAGAACTCTAGATTATATATGGGTGTACATGATCACCAGGAACTGGAATCTCTGGATACAATTAGGCCAAGCGTGATCAGCGTGACTTTATCAATAGTCTGGGAACCAACGACATTGACGCTCTTGTTGACTCGCTGATTCTCAACCATCAATCTTTTTGACAAGATCCAACGAGGAAGCTTCAATGTTGTCATTGGTAATTGCGCTTGCCTTGAAGATTCTCAATTAGCACGTGTAGGTCATCCGCAAACGTCCAAGCTCCGGAGAACCTTTGCCCTCTACAACCATCCCGTCTCGATCAAAACGCAAGTAACGTTATAATTACTGGATTGCTTGCCAACCGATTATTCAAAATCTTAAAATTTTTGATTCCATTACAGAATACCCCGACATAGAGCACCCGATACGAGAAAGCCATTATTGCATCCAGGGGCACTATCGTCAAACCCCCCCTTGAATGTCAGACAAGTATCAAGACCAATACTTCCTCTGGCAGCGGACTTCGACCAATTACAAGAAATTCAGACCTAACGCAGCAATGTGCCGTTACCGCCAACGCCAACACCTTTGTGGCAATCCTTCCTGCGGCAATCTAATGGGCAACAAATATAAGGTGATATATAAGTGCACTGCAGCTAAGAAGGCCGGTAGGAAACCGTGCCCACAATCCCCAGGTGAAGATGCAAAAGAAGAATTTGCCCGAAGAACATCCCGGAAGTGTCGTGCGTGCCGTCAACGTGTCCAGCTAGGTTCACTACAGCAGCTGCATTCGAAGAACACTGTTGAACTCACTGGACAGACTGAAGCCCCTGGCCAAGCGAGAGGTTCCGACCAAACTCGAGCCTATGAACTACCCGGAGGCTATTCAGAACCTCAACTGCCTGGAAACTACCTTCAAGCAGCAGCTCAAGCCAATACACATTTTGTGCGGGATCAGCATGCAAACTCCATACAAGAAGACGAAGACCTCCAAGAAGAAGAAGAAGCTATTGAGTAGGACGAAGACCAAGGCTCTGGATGAGAAGCAGAACCCGGGAGAAATGAAGATTTTGATAATGGTGGAAGTTATGAATAGATTAGACATCATTATCCACAGGCACGTTGGGGGATGGAGACACCGCCAAGCCACCTGGCCATGGTAAAGCCCTGAAGGCACTGACTCAGTATAGAGATATTTCATCAGTCTCAGAGATTACAATGCAAACAAAATCTCAAAACTTGGGGCAAATACGCGCCTAGATAAATCATTGTAAAGTGATCCGAAATTTTCCAGCTACTGCCCTTTCATCCATTGAATTCAGTTGTAGTATGCACTCTTGATTCTACCTACGTGGCATTTCCAAGCCACTATTGAATGAATTGAATTCATTTCTATCATAAAAGTCGAGAAAGAGCGCCAATGTCACGCCCTTGCTACATTTGTTTTGACATTGGATTGTGAGGCTGATCATGTTAATGCCTGATCGTGTGATATCGTGTCATATTAGAGCTGCCAAAAAAGAAAAAGAAATTCAATTATTCGCGGCAGAATAAGCCTCAAGCCTTGGTAGGCGTTAATATACAGGGTCATTCGCGGAAAGTAAAAGAGAAAGTCAATACGTGTTTACTAGTTCCTTCTCAATGCTCAGGGCCGCCAGAAAGCGGGAGGGTGTATGCAATTTTCTTCAAAATTCTATTTGGGATATTCTGCCGTAAACAAGTCCATCCAGTACGATATTGCATCGGTGCGGAAATCATCCAACGCAGTGCGGCTGAGCTGAGTAGCATTGACGTCGAAAACAAAATTCTCAGGACTGACTGTGGCGTACTTGGGCCAAACATTGGTTCCGTTGACTGCAGATGCCCCCAGAGGTTATTAGCAGTGTACTTGCAACAGGAGTTGGAAAAACATGAGATTTTCACTTACCAGGGTGGTTGTTTGGGTCCAATGTAGCAAAGAAACTAATCCACATGCTCGTCATTAGATAGCTGAGCGGCTCAAAGGTGTCCTTTTGATCCGCCTGATCCTCTGGACTTATCGACTCGGACAGGGTGACGTTGTGAAAGAGAAAGGCAATGTCGTCTTGCTCCTGCACACCGGTCTGCCACCATTTGGCGTGGAACAGGACATCGTAGAGGTAAGAGTACGCATCGACTCCTTGTGCGGCCCACTATATCTGGTAATTAGCATTGATTTTGATGTCATCAGTGATTATGCTCGAACAAGGCTTTGGCGCTTGCGAGATGCTGCATTGTTTTGATGGCAGTTGTCTTCACTTACAGCCTGACTGCCCATTCGTCGTCCTGCTTGCATGATCCTGTCACCATTGTAGGCGCTGGAACGCTTCCACTGCCATCCATAGCCAGTCTCATTGCCCGGCCGTCCTTCCAGTGTAGATGGAATACCTTGGTCCGGGTCATCGGGGTACAGCTGAGCAATCTCCTCGGCGATCTCATTACTCATGCCGTCAAAGGCCACCATGCTCAGGAACTCATCAGTGGTGTTGATGCCCTTCACACCATAATAGTTCCACGTGCCCTCATCGGCAGTGGTGCCAAGGATGATGGGCACCTTGACAAATTTACCGCTGTTGAGCAGATTTGCGCCCAGGTCTGGGAGGAAGTCTCCGTCAACCACGGGATTGACGCGTTCTAGCGTGGTCAGGTCGCTGTCAAAAACCTCCGAGAGGGCACTGGCATCAACCTCGCGCATGCAGGCCAAGGTATCCGCGGCGTTCGTGCAATTGACCCCGTCGACAAAGGCGTCGTACAGCGGCTGCCACTCATCGACGGTGACGGACGGGAACATGAGCGTGGGGCTGCCGCTCTGGAGGATGGCGCCGCGGAAAAGCGCATCGTCTCGACCGCCGTAGGCGAGGAGCTGCAGTCCGACGCTAAAGGCGCCCGCTTCCTGGCCCCAGATGGTGACCTTGGTAGGGTCGCCGCCAAAGGCCGCAATGTTTTCCTGGATCCAGCCGAGGGCCAGGCGCTGGTCCTTGAGGCCCAGGTTTGCGGAGCCGTCGGCGGCAATCTCGGCTCCATACATGAAGCCCCAGTAGCTGAGACGGTAGTTGAGCGTGACGACGATGAATTCCTGGTCATTCTGGACGCCGACTTAGAGAAGTGAGGTCGGGTCGTATCGGGGGTCTCTGCCGGTGCCGTGCTTGAAGAGACCGCCGTGTATGTACACGGCAACAGGGAGCAGACCCTTGGAAGCGGACACGTTGGAGGCGCGTTGAATGTTGAGGGTCAGACAGTCTTCCGACACGTCTTCTCCCAGCACGAATTGGGTGGCGCCGTATCCATAGCACATGTGGCCATATTCTGTAGCATTCCTTTGCCCTTCCCAAGACGTGTTGAGCGGTTGAGGGTTACGGAAGCGCAAGTCTCCTACTGGAGGTTGCGCATACGGGATGCCACGGAAGTAATCCTGGTGCCATTGGGACGAATGAACTATCTATTGAGTCAGCAATTGGCTTTAATGGGAATGACGTAATGACGCGTGAATATCCTGAGAGGGGTAGGATCATTCAGGTCTCGGTGGAAACATACCGCCATAGTAGGTTCCGTTTTTGGTCACAGCCACTGGAGTAGTGCTGTTGTCACCAACCGTTGTGCCGTTGTCATAGGAGCGGCTGGTGCAAAGCGCAGAGCCAGAGCCGGCCAACAAGCCAATGCCAAGAGCGCGAAGTGAGTGCATGGTGAAATAGCTTGGTACCGAAACAGAGCAGGACAATGGAGAAAGAGAAAGATGGGAAGGAGGGCGCTAAAGCCTAGACCAAATACCCTGACGAAGTCTCCTCACCAACATGCCATACATGAATGTGTTTATATATGATTACCCATGACCACGTCTATGTGTTGTATGTAGATTTCTGTATAATCAAATTAGTAGACGCAAACACGCGTGTAAGGCTCGTGCTGAGCAGGGATTCCCGGGCCCAACACCATTCGTATACATTGTGCTGGTCATGTCATCTAGACCATCGTAAGTAATTTCTATGCTGGAGATTGTATGCAGTCCAAAACACCACCAATCGACTTTGTTCATATGCGCTAGCATTACCCGTCCCAACTGCCGGGACAGCCCGCAGTGCCCCGGGTAGCGTAAGGGGCCTACGACGGGCGGTTGGTTCCGGTGATTCGTCGTTGCATTATCCATGGAGAGCTGAAAGAGTTACCTCACGTCCATGGCCCAGCGTTATTAAGATCGGTCAATCCGCCGAGTTGACGCGTGGCACAATTTAGGCAATGTCGGAATGGCGTCAAGGATGCAAGATTATTCAGCTTCATGGGGTATACTCTGATGATTGACCAACATGCCCCAAGCGCCAGAGAGTAGACTGAACCGAGATCAATCCGTCATCTTCCAGGACGTGAAAAATAGGCATGTTTGCCGCTTTCGCTGTTATGTGCTCTTTTTGCATTGGAATCGTCTTCAATAATGTCAATAGCAGATGTAAATTCAAAATCAGTCTGTCGTTGGTGCTTTAGTTGGTAGGTTGTTGATTTTGGGTACTTTGGTAGAGGCTTGGGTGTGGGACCTAAAAAGTTTAGCTGGCGCTGAGTCATATTTATAAGCAACATGCCTATGCAGCGCATAGCTTACCTTGATTTAAAGACGAAAAGACCTCGGCCCTTAACGCCGAGCTATAGACCATAATCCGACCTACCCGGTTCAACCATATTCTAGATGCCAAAAACCTGAGTGACGCACTTCACTGCTATACTCCTCTGGCTAGCGCCATGTGCGGTCGCTAGTAAAATGCTGGTTCAGCCCTTTACGACATGAATTGTGCTGCATCACCGCGGCTGCTCCCATGACCTGGCAGAGACTCTCTCATCATCTCTTTTCCGGCTGTTGAAGGTAATCATATGTATAGCGGAGCCCCTATTCTCCGTATAGCGTGGCAAATATACAATGGAATAATTAAGGCTTAGTCAAGTTGCCCGTATAGGCAGTCAGGTGAGTCAACCTGCTCGAATCTACAGGATCTTCATTTTTATAGGCATCAAGGGCTCTGGCTGTTGATTTGTTATAAGGTTCATGCCTTTTTGGGATCATTCCGACCATGTGTTGTCTTATTACATAGTTTTGTTCAATGATGACTTGGTATAAATATGATTACTTGCATCGTGTCTAAGTTCTTTGTCGTGAAGATCAACCTGAGAGTTTAGATATCGTCGATCACTCAAGTGTTTTACTGGTTTCTATATTGTCAAGCTTGAAGACACCACTTTCTTCATGATGTGGTTTCTCTTTGAAACAGTAGCAGCTTTGCTTCTGTCGGCTGTTCCACTCGGTTCGGCAGCCTGCACCGAGAAGCGCCAAATTGTCCCTTGGTTTGTTTACAAGCAATCCTAAGTCTTTGTCGATTCATTCTGAAGTTTGGACAGGTCAACATTGACTCACGAAGAGAAACAGGCCTATGTGAATGCGGATGTCTGCCTAACCAAGCTACCTTCTACGTCGGGCTTCCGCGGTGCGGTGACCCGTTGGGATGACCTCATGTGGCCTCATATCTATCTCACCAGCGTCGTTCATAATTGCGGCGCCTTTTTGCCATGGCACCGTTACTTTGTCCTCGTTCACGACCGCATGATTAGGGAGGAGTGCGGCTACGATGGACCCTTTCCGTTAGTCTCCATCATTGGGGACCTGCAAGGCTGACGCACGTCTACTAACCCCAACCCAGCTACTGGTATGAAACAGAGGATATCGATGATATTGCCGGTTCCGACCTTTGGAACTATTATGGCCACAATGGCGTCGGCGACGACCACTGCCTGGGCGATGGGCCATTTGCCAATATCACTCTCCGGTTCACCTACAACAATACCATTGGAGAATATTGTCTGAAGCGCAACTGGAACCAAAAGGTCTTCAACCTGACCAACCAAGCTCAGATTGACGCATGCATGCAATATCAAAACTACACGCCGGCGTGGCGGTGCTGGGGCTTTAACCCTCACGGAGCTGGCCACCAAGCCGTCGGCGGCCACATGGCGGACCCGACTTACAGTCCCGGAGACCCAGTCTTCTTCCTTCACCACGGCTGGTTAGATAGTCTGTGTGGAAGTGGCAGAAGGTCGATCTACCCAACCGCCTGGAGGAGATGGGCGGTGCCAACATTGCCTTTACCATTATCAACGACCCAGACAATGTCGAGTATCCCTCGCCCGAGATTCTCAGTACGCTGGGCGACAATGGCAACTGGACCACACTCGAGCACAATCTCTGGATGATGGAAATTGGGGACTTTGCGCCAAACATTACGATTGCGGATATCATGGATGTTGGCGGTGATGTCATGTGCGCCGACTATGTGGACCTCTAGGTCGGGCGGTGCTGGAGCATAGACTGGGAAATGCCTTGAATGATCGCTTGATGAGACTATCCCGTGAATCTAGGCAGTCTCTGACAATGGATCGGTCGTGGCCGCTCTATAAAAAGACATTCTAGCTACTTGTCCAAATGGCAGATTGCACTTATTGAAACTCAAATTCAATGTCTCTATCGTCACTGTCTGCGGTTCGGACTTTCAAGTCCGAGGAGAACGAGGGCCAAGATGCCACAGGTTGCAGACGAGCATGAATTACCAAAAACGGAAATATAGACGAAAATACTTGATTGGCTAGGAATGTAATTAATTAAATAAAACTGGAACCCCCAAGGTCGAGATTCAGCTGTCATGCCAAGGCTTGTTCTTTTAGACTTTTAGTCAACATTCCGTCGCCCGACGCGCGTTGGATGCAAGTTGTAATACGCGTCAGCCCCCCGCAAAAAAGCCACCATAGCGGGGGCAGGTGGCGGACCATTTTTGAGTACCGAGTACTGTTTCTGTAGCCCTGATTGGTTATGAGTATCTGCATTCACGGTTCAACGTGCCAAGTCGGCTTCTCTCCCAGTCAGCGATTTACGTATACTGCATGCATGCTGGGCCAATATTGCAAATATAGGAGTCATGTTTACTACCGTCTATGCAAATGTGTCAGAGACAAGAAATCACGTGATGGATTTATAAGACATTGGTTATTCGTATGCACGGAGCCTGTTGAGCTGTGTATGAAGAAGCGTCCGTGGCTTGCGTCGTTCATGGGGCGGACTAGCTTGCGCTCCTTTTATTCCAAGATCTGCAACATAATAAAAGCAAAGCAACCTCCATCGGTGATTGGCATGCTTGAGACTTTTGTCAGCATATCAAACAAACTTTTAGCTTGAACACTGAAATTTTTCAAACTCTACCTGTTTGGTTCTGCGACTAAATTCGCAAAGTGACCAATAACCGGCCGCCCAACATGAGGTTCCTGTCAACCGTGGTCGTCTCCTTCAGCCTTGTGGCCTCGTCCCTGGCTGAGGTCGAGGGCACATGTACCGAAATCAATCAGAGAAAGTCGGTATGTATTCACGAGTCTGCTCCATCCTTACAGTCAGATCACTGCGTACTCATGTAATTGTGCTGGTTTAGTGGAGTGCTCTTACGGACTCTGAAAAGAGCGAGTATATCCAAGCCGAGTTATGTCTCATGTCGCACCCACCCATTACTGGTCTCGTTGAAAATGCAACCAACGTCTTTGACGAGTTCGCCAACGCCCACATTGACCAAGGAAACAATATTCGTATGTGAATTTTCATCTTTCCAATGGCTAATCTCATATATCTTCGCGTGTCCGCTAACCATCCGTTGCAATGCATCAGACTATGTTGGACACTTTTTGCCCTGGCACCGTTACTATGTGAGGGCCCATGAAATTGCGCTTCAACAGCTCTGCAATTACACACGGGCTCACCCCTACTGGGACGAGCTCACCGATTTCATGACCGGGGACGTGAGTCAGGCATCTGTGTTTGATGCCACGACAGGCTTTGGAGGCAACGGCACGGCCGAGTCCTCCTGTGTCGCCGACGGTCCTTTCGTCAATATCACTTTGCACATGAGCAACCACCACCAACGCGGCGACAGCTTTTGTCTCTCCCGCGGGCTCGACGAGAGCTCCCTGGCCCTGATCAACAAGACAAACATTGAAATGTGCTTTGGCTATGAGAACTACACGGACGCATGGTATGTGTAAATTTATCTGGGTTTTCCTCCTAGCGCCGTCTGACTCGGACTTGTGCAGGTCATGCTACAACAGCAACGGACCACACGGTGCTGGCCACGGTGCCACTGGTGGTTTAATGAAAGACCCTATCGATAGTTGCAACGATCCAATGTTTTTCCTTCATCATGCATATCTCGACAAGCTCTGGTGGGAGTGGCAATTGGCAGACTATCCGAAGCGGCTGTACGACATGGGCGGTAACAACACGGCTCCGGACTCGATTCTCGCCGTCGCCGATCTTTCCCAGCCCGGTTCCGACATTCTCGACTACAATAGTGATCCGGGCAGCACGACGACCTTGAATCATACCCTCTGGATAAACTGGATCGTGCCCAACTATCAGGGCCTTATAGCAACAGAGTGGAGGATCCAGATAATGGTGATAATAGGGGTTATATATATTCAAAACTGATTTTTACCTTTTAAATCACCTGTTATAATCCTGTTATTTATCCTTAAAACGCTGCCGGTGTTTTAAAGTAATTCCGGCGTCGCCGAAGCTAAGCCTTTAATTATAAAACCTTTCTTTAAATTAATTATTTAATTTTTTATTATAGCTTTATTATTAAATCGTATTTAATATAGCTTTTTTTTTTCCGGCGCTTATTTTTAAAGGCTTTTTCGTTATAATATTAATCCGTAAAAGCCGTATTGCTAATTTCGTAAAAAAGTCGTCGACGGAGCGCGGCTCCGTAATAGCTATTAATATAAAAATAATAATCGCCGCGCTTACCGCCCGTAAAAAATAAGGTTACGGTTTATATAAGTTAATAATCGCCGTTTATAATAACCGGAATTAATTTTAAATAGCTATTTTTGGCTTTTTTTATTTAAAATTTCCCTTTTTTTCCTTAATATTATAATTTTTGTTATCGGTAAATAAGCCTTTTTTATTAATTTTTATTATAACGCGCGCGTATTATTAATAGCCTTTAATTCCCGTATTTATTAATTTATTTTAGTAAATATTTTATACGCGTTATTTTTCCCGGTTAATTTAACCCCGATTTTATAAATTTGCGTCCTTATTTTTTTTACGCCCGCTTTTACGGCGCTTTTGCGGTTTTTATTAATAATCCTAATTTCCGCGTTTTATAATTTATTCGTTTTTTTAGTAAATACCCTCCGTTTATTAATCCGTCGCTAGCGCTAATCGTATATAAATATTTATTTAAATCGCCGCCGGTAATAAACCCTTTTTTTCGCTTAAAAAAAGTAGTCGTAAACGGGGCGATAGCGACGCTTTTACGCTTATTTTTACTAAAAAATCGCGTATTTTTTAAAAAAAAGATAAAAAGCCTTATAGCGCTAATTATGCTTCCGAATAATAATATTATACCTATATCGCTTATTTTATAACCGAAAATTCCGGCTATCGTTATATTAAATAAACCGGTTAATTATTATAATACCGCGCGTTTATTATTTATATTAATTATTTTAGGTTTTAATATCCGTTATATCGATTATACCGATAATAATTATAGTTATATTAATATAAATTTTTTATTTTTATTTTACTTTTTGCGTTTTATCCGCGCCGTTAATTTAATTTTATAAATTTTTAAGGAAGTTATCGATTCGCTTTAATTTATTTTAAATGCTATTTAATTTATTTACCCCGATAATGCTATTACGTTTACGTATTTCGATAGCTTTACTAACGCTATTTATTGCGTTTTTGCCTGTGCTATCGCCGCTAAAGATATTATTATTTTTTTTAGTTTTACCGCTTTTAGCGCTATTTTAAAGCTTTTACCTAAATTTATAAATACTTTTTATTATATCGCTATTACTTTTAAAACGCATTTTTTGCGGTTTTTTAACGCTAATTAAGCGTTAATTTTTTCGTAAAAGGTAATTACGTAAAAAACCCGGGTAAATAAAAGCGCTGTATTAGCGCACGGGTAAAAAAAAGGATATAAATTAATAATATAGCAGCGCTTATGGCTTATTTGCGTTTAGCGGATAAAATTAATCCGTAGCTAATTTTAATTAAAATTTAAATTTTTATTAAATAGCTTTTACGCTTTTCGTAATACGTAATATTTTTAAATCCTATTTATAATTATTAATTAACGTTATATTTTTAAAGCTTTTACGCGGCTTTTAAATATCGTCGTTTTCGTTAAACCTTTTTTATTAAATTAAATATTAATATTTATTTTTAAATTTTTAATATATTAGTATTTATTCGATTTATTATAACCGTTTTATTTTAACGTTAATATTTAGCCGCTACTTTTGCGCTAGGTTTTTTTTATTATAATACGGGTTTAGCAAAAATATTAGGAAAACGTTATAAATTTTATATTTTTTTAGCAAATTTAATTTATACGCTAGCTTATAATTTCCGATAATTTTTATTACGCGGAAAAAACTAAAATATTTATTTGCGAATTTCGCGTTTAAGCGCCGCTATTTAATATTTTTTACGGATAAAAATACTTATTTATTAATTATAAAAGTCTTATTTTCCCTTTTTTTATTATATTATTTTATATAGCTTTCGTTTATTAACCGTAATAACGTTAATAACACTTTATATTTTTTTTATATTTTTGCTATTTGCTTTTTTGCTATTAAAAATCGCATTTTATTTCGGATATTAATATTAGCAGGTATTTTAGGGTTAAAGCCGTATAATAAAAAGGCCGGTATAGCCTTAATAACGGAATATTACGCGTTATTATATATAAATTAGGCTATTAATAGCCGTTCCGCCTAATCCGCTTATTTTATATTATAAAACGCTTAAATATAATATTTTAAATTTTGGTTTTACCGTTTTATTTATTTATCCGTTTACGGGTAAAAAACGGTGTTTAAGCGCCGTTTAATAAATATATAATAATAAAGCCCGTTTTAAAAATAGCTAGTAAAAAAACTCCCTTAATCCGATATAATGCCTTTTAAGATCCCGAAAGGCATTATAACGTGTCGGAATAATAGATTTATTAATACGCTCGCTATAAGCCGCGTTATCGTGGTTATATAAAGCGAATATTTCGTAAAACGGTTTATAATAACTAAAATCGAGTCGTAATTACGGTTTATAAATAGGTTTATTAATTAAAATAGCTTTATAATAAAATTTATTAATATTTCCTAAAAGGGTCGCACCGCGATTAATAGCGATTTTAATAAGCCGTAAAATTAATGCGTTTTTATTTTTATTTTTTAATAAATTGCGTAAATATTAATATAAGCCTTTACGTTTTTAAGTTAGGATTTTTAAAAATAGCTTTTTTAAAAAAGCTTTAAAATTTTTATTACGCTTAAATATCTTATTATAAGGCTATTATAAAAAGCTTATAATAGCTTTTTTTAAGTTTTTGCGTTTTTTAGAACGTAGATTTTTTTTCGGAATTTTAATAAGCCGCTTTTATCGCGCGTTTACCGTCGTTTTTTAGCTTTAAATCCGCGTTTACGCTTTATACGCTATTTTTCGTTTTAATAAAAAGCGTCCCTAATTTATAAATTTAATAAATACGTTATTATCGGCGCTTTTAGCTTATCCGATGCTATTTTGGACTATTTTTTTATAATTGCGATCCGTGGGATGCTCGATTTATAACTCGGGATCCTAGCTAAATCCGTGCTTTTATAATACGGCTTTATAATAATTACTAATAGTATATTAATATTTTCGTATAACCGTCCCGCTTTATTTAAATTTTCGTTTACGAAACGCAATTTTTTATTAAATGCCGGTAATATACCGATATTTCCGTATAACCGCTCCGGCCTTTTTAATAAATATATAGCTAGCCTGGCTTTTATTGGTTTATTTTTTAGGATTTTAGCCGCTAGCTTATATTTATTTACGCTTATAAAATTGGTAATTAAGCGCTTTTTTTTCGCCGTTTCCCCGGTTAGCCTATAATCCGCTTTTCGTAATAATTTATCGGTAGGGTTTTATATTCCGGGTTTATATTCGATTTATAGGTTAAACGCCGATAATTCGTTAAGCTAACGCAATAATTTAAGGCTAAGCCTTTACTTAGTTTTTTAGTATTATAAGTTTAGATAATTTATTAATATAATAAATTAATATTAAAAATATTAAAAATAATAACGCTAATTTTTTAAAGCGTCGATAATCGCGAATAGCTTTTTATTATTTATATTATAGCGTATTTCGGTCGATAATAGCTTTTTAAATTTAAACGCAATTAAATATTATTATCCGTTATAAAGTTATATAAATACGGCCCCGATCGTAAATGCGGATATATCCGTTTTTAGCTTTATTAGCAAAGCTGCGTTATAATAGCGCAATAATAGCGTAATCGTAAAAAGTATTTATAATATTTTAAAAGCCGCTTTTATATTAATTAGCAATATAATTCGACCCGTAATACCGCTTTTTAATAAATTTATTAGCGGAGCGGTAATTCGTAAATACCTTTTAATAAACCGGCGATAAAAACCGGCGAAGCTTAGGAATTTTTAAATTTTGCGGACAGTGCTTAATATACGTTAATTTCGTATAGCCGCGACGCGTTTTTCTTTTATATTAATACCTTTTTTGCTAATAATAAACCTAAAAAACCGCATTATTTTAATATAAAATTCGCATTTTTTATAATTTAAATATAATTTTTTACTTTTTTAGCCGTTTTAATACGGCTTATATATGCTTTTTATACGCGGTTTTATCGTTATTATAAATTAATATATTGTTAAGGTAAACGATATAAAATATATTTATTAATTTTCGCAAAGCCTTATTAATATATAATTAAAATATAATAAAAGCATTAGTTAAGCTAAAAGGTATTATTTAGTATTCGAATAATCCGTAATAAATCCGAAAAGTAATTTTTTATTTATTTTTTTGCGTATATTTTAATTTTATAATAAGCGTCCTTTAAATTTAATTTCGTAAATACCTTAGCTATATTAAATTAATTTAGGATTTCGCTAATTAGCGGTAATAATGCTTTATTTTTAATTATAATATAATTTAACGCTTTATAATTAACGCATAACCGTAAATTACTTTTTTTTTAAATATAAATAAAATAAATAATTTTATAAGGCTAAACGACCGTTTAATTTATTTTTTAACTTCCGTTTTTTTAAATAAACGCGTAGCATTTTAAGCTTTTTCGGTAATAATAAGTAAAATAGGCCCTAAATTAGCTTAGCGCTTTTTTAAGCTTAATACGGTATTTTGATTTTAAATAGTTAAATAGCCGTTTTGCTATTTTTTTCGATATTAAGTCCTGGAATATGCTATATACGGTAGGTATACGTTTTTTTTTTATCTTTTTTTTTTTCGTTTATTATTAACGTAGGATGGATTACCGTTATTACGGCGATTCGGGCTTTTTTAATTTTTTTCGGGGATTTATATATCCGTAAATATTCCTTTTTTTAAAAAAAAATTTATTATTTAGCTTTTTA